ATGAAATTAAATGTGTGCTGTTCTAGTAGGTATAAATGTGGAAAAAAGACATTGTGTGAAGAATCCAAATAACTTGTGTTGTATCTGTTGCCAAAGCAAAAGGAAACTATAACTTCTTTTGTGAAAAGTGTATACCACTCTTATTTTGCTCCGTTTTCGTCAAAGCATTAAGAAGCTGTAATATTCAAGGATTCAACAGAAAAAATAAGAAACAAATATTGACTCTGCTATTTGACCAGTTCCTCATGGACCCACCGAGACAAATGAACTAGAAAACGTCATATCGTCAGAACCAGAGGAATCTAATTCCGAACCAGATGATTCAGATTTCACACCAGATTTCAGAAAGTCCGAAGTGTTTAACCAGAGCGAATTAAATGATTTAATTGGAGATTTACATCTTCCAAAGGATGCATCCGAATTGTCAGCGTCCAAACTTCGTGACAAGCATTTACTGGTAATGACGTGATAAAGCAAAAATATGGCGTTTTTTGGAAAAACGGCCCCCAAAAATATACAAAGGAGTTATGTTATGTCAATATTTTACTCAGGAAGGACCTCTAGTGAATTGTAACAATATTCCTGACTTAGTTTTAAAATTAGGAATTGTGCCACATATAAAAGAAGAATGGCGCCTGTTTATTGACTTAAGTAAACTTAGTTTAAAAGGGGTTTTATTGCACAATGGTAACGAACTGGCCTCGGTTTCCGTTGCACATTCGCTACAGAAAAGACTCAACATTTAGGACTCCTTTTGAGGAAAATATACCACCAAGAACATACGACAACAGGGGGTTATACAAAATTTCCACGCTTTATTTGTGAGCGGGATAGTCGAGACTCAAATAGAATGGCCCTCTAGAACAAGCCTTACACCTGGTAGCAAAAATTTAGTAAGAGATAGCTTAGTTCACTTCAAAAAAGTTTTACTGCCTCCTCTTCATATCAAACTCGGCTTAATGCAGCGGTTTGTTAAAGCCCTGCGCCATATTTGATGCCAAGATAAAAGACGGTGTTGTGAAGCAGATAAGAACATTATGCAAAGACAAGGATTTTCAAAACAATGACCAATGGGAAGAAAAATGCCTGGGTTCCATTTAAAGAAGTAATTGATAAGTTTCTTGGGAACTCTAAGGACGAAAACTACGAAAGTATTGGTCAAAGTATGTTAAAACACTTTCATCGTCTAGGTCCTAGGTGGTAATATGAGTTTGAAAGTGCATTTCCTGTTGAACTATTTTCTTGAACATCTTGGAGCAGTTAGCGAAGAACAGGAAGAGAGGTTTCTCCAGGACATTAAATGAATGGAACTACTGCCCGATGTTAAAACGAGATATGCCCTTAAAAATACACAGCCGAATGTCCGGACAACGCAGCTTTCTGGCAAAAAGACGAAAATTTCACTCAAAAAAGTCTGAGTAAAGTTTTTTTCTTAACTAGGATTCTACTTTTTTATTGAATAAAAAAATAAATTATCTTAGAAAGATCGTTTTCTCGAATATTTGCAAAAAACCTTAGGTGATACAAATAAATAATAAATAGAATTATTGAAATCAGCCTACCAAAATTATATAAAATCAGTTTTCAAAATAAAACCATCTGTCACAAAGTTTAATTTTGTTGCCCACTGTAATTGTAAACCGAATTTAAATGTGTTAAACTAAAACTTGGTATCGAATTTATTCGCGGAGCCATTTTATTGAATGAAAAAAGGCTTAACTTCAGTTTTTTATAAGCGACCAGACGAATTACAAAGTATTGACAATTGGACTGGTTTGTTAACTTGCTGTAATTTTCTAGCGAACAATAGTTAATATTTAATCAGGGTAGTGTGCATTGTAATATTCGATGCAGTCGTGATGAGGATTTTAATTAATCGTTAATGATACGGTCGCATTGAAATTTGCATTAGTAATAGCAGAACGTCTCCTATAGAAGCACACGTGTGGAAACGTCAGCAAGTCGAGTGGCATTGGATAGGCGTCTGTCTCATTTTTGCGTTGTTATTATTTTAAGAATTAAATTAGAATCTTACCTAACGCAGTAAATAATCGTTCGTAATGTATTTGCGAAAAGGTATTTCTCGATTATACACGTGAAAATAACGATAAACAGGGAAATATACCTTAATAAAATGTCATTCATTAGTACTCGAATTGTTATTCTCTATGGCTCAAGCATTTTTTTTAAATATCGAGATGAAAACTGAGGTTTGTTTTTTTCACATATTACACTGTGTCCCACTTAAAAACTGTAAGTTTTTGTTGTTGGATAGGTCTCTGAAAAACCTTTTGTTTCTTATTACATCAACCTGTAGGCCTGGCTGACCGGGACTAATTTTTAATGTCAAATATCGAGAAGGGATAAGGTAACTATACTAATTTCCATAAAATTCGAATGCAGGGTGCACGAAATATCGCGGGCACCTCGCTTAAGCATTACCCCTGCAGAATATTTGTTTATGGCTCAATTTTTATAATTCTTTTTTGTTGGATAGATTTCACTGAAATGCACTAACGATTTTCTTAAAATTATATATGATTAGAGAGGGTTAGATAGGAACTAAACAGATTTTACGACGCTGTATTTTTTAATTACAGAAGATTTTTAATCCTCCAATAATGAAAATAACAGAATTATAAAACTGGTTTCACGTCGGCATACTGTTTCCTTTGTAAAACCAAGTTTGCCGTGGAAAAGCGAATATTAGACAGTTAAATTCACTCGCTAATTTATATTTTAATTTTGTTTACATCTTTCGAATACTAAGATTTCGAATACTATGTCCCTTAAAAAGTCTTTTTTATCATTATTTTTGGAATTTTTATAATTAAACTTTGTAAGATCTAAAAATCGCATACAAAATAATAGGTATTTACAGGGTTGAAAATATTTATTTTTTTTTAAATAAAAACTTTGGTAATTGGTCTAGTTACTTTTAGGTAGTCCTGAACACGAATCTGTTGTCATTTTCAATTTGAAAAAATATCTAAAAGTACTTCTCGATTTTCCGTTTCAAATAACTGTGTCAACCATGACTTTAGTTGATGCTATACGAAAAAACCGTTTCATTTCTCTTTAGCAAGATCTATCCAGCAAAAAAGAATTATCAAAATTGAGGCATAAAAAACATTCTACAGGAAAAATTCCACTTCACTTCACTTCATGGAAATTAGAATAGTTAGGTTTTATGTAGGCCTGAATAAGAATTCGTTGATTCTTAAAGAAATCCCTAATAGCCTTTCTCGATATTTGACATCAAAAATTAGTCCCAGTTAGCAATGACTTAAGGTTGATAAGAAAAATAAGGTTTTAGCGCGTTTTTGAGAGATCTATAAAAAAACAAAATCAAACCGTAATCATGGATTTTACAACGATGTACAGTCTTAAGTGGGACGCAAACGATATTTCAAACTCCAATTTATTTTTTGAAGCAATAAGCAAAACGAGGTTTAGTGCATTTTTCGGAGACCTATCCGACAAAAAACAATTATCAAAATCGAAAACGATGTGTTTTATCGGAATAAATTTAGTAAAGGAATTGTGACAACAGGAAAGACATCACATGAAATAGCAAGATTATAATAAGATAGCAACCACCGCCCTCTACATATTATGTGAAAAAATAAAATGTAATCGTATTGACTATCTCCAAAAACCCCGCAATTTTAAAAACTGCTTGAGTAGTAGAGAAATAACATTTTTGAGAATTTGTCTTTAACACCCTGAATCTGACGATTGAGCGATATTTTACAAGGACTATCTGGCTCGTATCATTATTTTCACGAGTTTAATCTAGGTGCATTCCTAACGGAGTACCGTGTACAAAGGTTTATGCTATAATAAACAGTATTTAAATAGAAATCAAGTAAAAGGCAAGGCGCAACAGGTTTTAGTACACGCTCACTCCAATTAAGTATACCGCATTTGACTTTTATCTACCGCTTCCTTTTATTCTGCAAAGAAACGTTATAGTGCCCGGACGTATTTGTGGAAGAGCGAAATATATTTCTTTTGAATTTCGTTCCACGGTGGCATTTTTATGTTGCAATCCGATATGGATAACGTGATAAATGCAACCCAAGGGTGCAGGGTGGTCGTAATTGGAGCGTTTTAACAGGAAAACCTATTCTAAACTAGGTAGAGCAAAACCGATTTGAATGTTACGACCTCTATTGTGGAATATTTAATGCAAATACCGCATTGCGAGATCTGCATTACCGACCGAGATGTATGCCGTTTTTCCATTCAATTCAATTCAATTCCATTTTGCATCATTTCTCAAATATACTTTTTTGTTTATGAGAATTCGTAATTCGAATAAAAACATTATTAAAGCACTTTTTTGAAGCTAATGCAGTGACATATTTAGGCTTTGTTCTATAATTTTTACTTTTTTTATTCACTGGTGGGTTTTTGGGTTGTATTATCGAAATAAAGTGGTTTTTCGCTCTTTGTTACCAAGAAGACGCATTTAAAAGGAAATATGTTCTTAGTTCTGCCGTCCGTCTGTCGTAAACCTTCAAAATGGATTTGGGCAATTTTCTTTACTACGTAATTTGTAATAAAATTTTAATATCTCGTTTGCCTTTATTTGAGAAAGCCAATTTCTTTAAAACTCGATGCATACATATCATTTGACAGGAGTTGAAATTTAATATTTTAAAAAACAATATGAAATCCGAAACATCAAGACCAACTAAGGTGATGTTCTTTTTTTAATATTTGTGGTTTCAAGAAAAACAAAACATCACATGGCAAATCTGAAAGCATTATCGTGTAGGTGAAAAATTTGTTTATAAACATTATTTTTTTATTAATCGTTTATCTTCTTTATTTTTCTATATTGTCCTTGGTTTTTGGTTGGCCTGAATTTCCTTTTTTTAAATTTTGTGTCAGCTAATTTCTACGGAACAAATCTTTTTCACCACTAAAAATGTTTTTATTTCGAATCGCACAAATTAAAAAAAATTACATTTAACGCAGCTTTTCGTTTTCAGTCGGCATGTGGTTTGTGATGATGTCGGTAGCAGTGCTGGTAGTAGGAACGAGTGGGATCCCTTGCGAAGAAGCAAGAATGAAATGCGCCTATCGCACTGGCTGCGGAACTGCCCTACACAATTATTTGGTGGGATGTTCCGTGGTCCTCCAAGGGCCACATCCTACGTATTGCCCGGAGGTGTGTCAATATTCACTGGTTGCTCTTACGTCTACAGAAGAAGGAACAGCATTAACCACTGTACGTAAAAACTTTCATTTCGTTAAGTGTTATATCGAAAAACATGAATCAAAATTTGCAAAAACGGTCGTCGTAAGACTGCAGTTTTTTCAGAGTATATAAATGTGTAAGCATTTTATTCAAAAGTTATATAAAGAAAGAAAATATTGGGAATATAAATACATAAGGCAAGTAGTAGTAAGCGATTTTAGGGTTGGTAATGGTAACTATTTTATGGTAAAGTTTCCAAGTATTAGGTTTATCTAAGTAACATCGGCGTCCATGCAGGGAGCAGACAAACATGAGTTTTATTTTCAAGGGCGTATTTTTACTTCTCGTGCCATAAAAACAGAAGATTAAATCAATAAACTAATTTATTTTGTTTAAATGCGTTAGTAGCAGAACTCAGTTTCAGGCTTCTTAAATTCGATCTAACATTTGAAATTAACATGAAAATTTATGTAAAATCAAGAAAGAAATATTAAGTAGCTGATACAAATTCTCAATTTTTTTTGAAGATTTCTCTGTTTTCCCCATAGCTTTTCTTTACTTTTTCTGTTTGTGTCACTACTGAATTCATTATAGCATATTTTGATTGCATAGTCTCACTGATACCGCAACGAATCGTTTTGGTAATAGAAAAGCGAAGAAATAGACAATACAACTTAAACATAATTTTTAATGCTAAATAAAACGAAATTTATATACTCTGTTAATTGAAGTTATGTTTAAAAGGTGTATGTTTAAAGCATTATTAAATTTTTTTATTCTAATGCATTTCGCAGAAATTTAGCATTTTTGTCTTTGTGGCTCTTGGACGTAATTTAGATTTTCTTCGCAAACTGAATTTATTATGGACTCCTGTTTTTATTTATTTTGCACTCATGTTTCCACATTAATATAGAAAATTGTTTTTAAGGGTCAAATAAATAACACCTGGCAAAACTCATTTTCATCCATCTTCGCTCCGCCTAAATTTCGGTGTCTACCCCACTTAGGGAATGTATTACATGCATTAATTATTAATTATTTAATAATTTTTCTTCATATTCAAGTTCTACAAAAAAGCTTGGGCGAATAAAATTTGTGTATATTTTTTAAATTTTCACTTTACACCACACACAGCACTTCCTGTAATGTTTCTGTCATATCGAAGCCCTTGCAGGAAAGAGAAGATCTATCTCAACAGATATACTTTTTTCCATGTCACTTAATTTAAGAACTTAAAAAATATCTTTTGGGCTGATGCCAATGTACCACGAACCGTCGTTATGCGTCAAGAAAATAGGTTCAAGTGTGCAACAGGCAAAGAAATCTTCGACGTAAATAGATATCACATGCGGGCGCGACTATCTGGTTTCTCTTTGTACACTTAGTGAATGTGTGGCATTCGGTTACGATGCATTTTCATAGATGACAGCGAGTGTGGATTTCGTATAATTGAAATCCGTTTTGAAAAATGAGATTCGTGCTGCTAAAACTGCTCATCTATATCTTCTTACATATTTGTATTTGTATATTTGAACAGTAATTAATTAAATCTTTTCCGCCTTTTCCATTTCAAACGAATATATTAAGTCCCCATATCTATTATTTTCTATTCTATAGTTTTAAGTATTGTTACTACCAGTAGGAGTAGTGCCCAGAAGTTTGAGATCACAAAATAGACGTTAAAGTCAAAAATTAATATGTAAAAGTTGACCAGCTTCGACTTCCACATATAAGAAATGAATTAATATATGTAGTGGTGTGTGTAAGTAAACAATTATAAAGCACCTAGTTACTATTCTTAAAATGGCAATTAGAGCACATACTTCAAACTTTAAAATTGCTCTGTAAAACTTTAGACAGAGTTAAATCGGCAACTCCTATATAATTGCAACTAGGTTTTATTTATTATTACTCTCGGCTAGTGTGGACAAGAGTCCTCCCTCACAGTTCTGGAATAAGAATTGCTCCGATTGCGGATGAGCTGACTTCAATTACCATTTGTTTTGCGATCTGAATGATAAATAAAACAAAATCTATATTTTCCTTATTTCGACAGAGAAATTCCCATTACAACCCGTAATAAAATGATTGTGATAACAAAATTGTAACAAAAATCTTATTCTTAATAAAGAACGACATATTAGAAAGAGATTGATTTATTGTATCACAAGCGATTCAGAATTGCTATCTACAATAATAATATATTTATTTTGGTCTGCGGTATTTGGAAATAAAGTGGGTTTTCGGGTTTTTCTAAACCCCTGCTTACTCGAAGGGAGTGAACAAATATTGTGGGCAGTTTAATGCAGCGGATGAAATAGACCTTATTTTATCCAGTATCGCTGCTTTCTTTAGAATGAGTATGTTATATTAAATGAAGACATTCCTTTCACTGTAGTTTAATGTCCAAAAAAGAGATAAAATTGAAAAACGAAAGGAGTCAAACCGACAAAATATCAAATTTAAAATAATAATAATAGTAACCATTGTTTTTGCTTTTAATAATTCGTAATTAGTGATACCATTAGGCGGGTTATGAAATAACGATCATTCACATTATGTCAGCAACATTATACCTTGGCTGTAGGAATGCAGAATGTGTCCAGATCATATAGTTACTATACCTTGCCTACGCTGACAAACATTTCTGAAACTGATATCCAAAATAGCCGCCACATAGCCGTTAACAATTGTTGTGTTGTTGTGGTATTTTTTGGCAGTATTTTGTCAAAATATATGAAGATCTCTTTTGTACGAAAATAACATATTTATTGTACAGCAATATGATCCCGACTAATAATTAGTTTCGACTTTCTAGAGAATCGAATTCCTCAAGCAACATAATTTTATAAGTATGATTGTTGGTCTGAGTCTCAGTCTTCTTTCCTTTTCAATGGCAACTTAATTTTAATAAATAAATAAATAATAAAAAGGCCGCTCTTGAAGTTTTTAAAATTTTTGAAAGAAATTATTTAAGAATTAGTTTATCAGAAAACCCAAAGTAAACGAATTTTTTTTTAATGTTCTACTCAGTAAAATCGATTGATCTTAACCTCTAAACATTTTTAGGCATTTGACTCAATAAGAATATTTTCAAAAACTTCTCCAATCGATTTTGCACACTTCTTTTTCTTTGTCCGACATAAAGTATAATATTGCTTTTATTATTTCAGTGTGATTGTAGCGATGACTATTGCGAAGATCAAAAACAACGGTCGGAAATTTGCAGGCCGCAAGTTACCAAAATTCTAAACAGCCCGGTAGTGCCCTGCAGGGTGGCTCACGCGATTTGCGTCGCGGACGCTTCTTGTTCTGCCGCACTAGAATACTACAATCAATATTGCAAAGCAATGTTTCACGGCAAAAAGTGCACGGCCAAATGTCACAACTCCATCAAGATACTTAGAAGACAGGAGAAAGCAGAGAAGTTAAAAACGTGCAAGTGCGATGGTTACAACAGCTACGAGTGCACCGACATCCAGAGAAACATGGAGAAGTTGTGTTTCCGTAAACATTCCAGACGTCATAACGCCACCTCCATTCCAACGCAAACGAATTACATAACACGAGTGACGACATCTGGTGACCGTACCATCCAAGTGACTTTGACTTTATTGACGTTGATTCTAGTGCCGCTATTAATCACGTGAATTTAATTATTGCCGGTTTGCGCGTTAAGATATCTACCTCGTTTAAACATTCAGTATTTATCTTATTAATCCTTAAACTGTGATATTTTAATTATGTATTTTCCGGTTAATAAAAACGTCGGTATTACAAACTAAATTAAAGTTATCGCGAAGAACCGTTGTGTTGGTTAGTTTCAAGCACGGAATAAGTCGAATATGAGGCATAGTGCAGCAGGGTGGTTCATTTAGCCCCGCGCAGAGAAAAAACTTTTTTGAGTGTCTGATTCTAGTGATAAGCGTTGCCTAATTTTTGTTTCATTTCGTATTTTATGTTTTAGGACTAGGGATAATATCAAATTTGAATAGAAACCGTTTGATAAGTAGGTAATTTACCTGAATATCCTTATTAAGTTGTATTTTTGCTGTAGGTTATGTTAGGTTATATATAAGAAATGCAAAATTACCCGAATGAATCAAATATAGAACTCAATTAACTCATGACGACGTGGGTATAAGTTATCTCACTTGATATTAGCCAATAATAGATTGAAATAATTAAACAAATTTAGTGGTATATCGGTGTTTTGGAATTTGCTATAGGAAAACCTATTTATTATAAATTTTGTACACCTTGGAAGTGATACATACGATTTTGGATATGATTATATTAATTAAACCGATTTAACCAAACCTCCCCACTATTACAAAAAGTTACACATTAATTGTGGAAAAAGTTTTAACTTGATGAGATTTCTTAGCGTTTTAATTGAATATAGATGTGTGTACCAAAGGTTATGATATTTTAGAGTTATTATTTTAATTCCTAAGCCAAAGAGGTTGCTTGCCGCTGTACATTGCTTTAAGTTATTTCGAGTTATTGTTTGTATACGGGCTAGCACTTCTTGTTTTGTAAATTTTAATTGAGACTAAAATTTTTCAAAAAATCGATGACGCCTGAAAGAATATTTCTTAATTTCGATTTTACGTTTTGTCAGTATGAAATAAGACACTGTATGAATTACTTAGGAAATTTTATTTAAAGAAAAAAGTAGTGCATTAGATGGTTGTTATGATTAGCTGTTTTATTTAAGTTTTATTCCCCAACCGATCGCACAAGAAGAAACATTTTCTTCAATTGCAAACAAACATTGAAAGGGTCGCAGTAAATTAGAAAGTAATAAGTTGAGCGATTAGTGCCTAACGAATTATAAATTTCTGGCATGTATGTAACGCGGCGGCCAGCATCACAGCACGGAATCATATGTAGTAATAACGTACATCTTAATTGACCACAACAGACCACCTTCGAAGAAATTTTCTACCTTTATCCAAGTTAACCTTCATCGGCTAATGATTCTCCGGGTATATTAAGCAGTACGTTCATAAATTACTTGGCTTTTATATACTTTACACATGCAGTTTTAGTTAATATTGTAGAAATCAGATCCGCTGCAGCCGACATTACGCAATGATAATTGCGGATTGCCTGTGGCGTTATCGAATGCGGTCAATTTTAACGGACAATAATATATTATGTTTTTGCTAAACGATCGGTATGGAAGAATTTACCCTCCTTTCAATTTACGAGTAATTGCAATCCGTGTCGGCGCTTTTGAAGAATTTAATCTGTTCGTTACGAATTCAAGACAAGAATATATGTCGTAATAAATACAGCGAAAAATAGACGAGCAAATCTATCAAAAAATAATTAATAACGCCGTTAGCTTTTTACTACAACGGCTGGCTTTCTGGTTGAAATAAATAAAAAATTAGCGGTTCGTCGGTAGCAGTGACGTAGCAACATGAGTTCTAATTTAAAGAGAATGAATAAAATCACATAACTTTGAACCGGGTTAAAAAGTAAAAAAAAGATTGTTTTTAGCGGTAATTTCATATCTCCAAAACGAAAATGGTATAATATTAAACAAGTTTGATAAACGCTAAACGCCACTTTAGTCTCGAGTTTCACTTGGCACGAACGATCAGTTAATAAACGTAATATGTAGTCAGCAACTGGCAAAAAGATAACAGCGCGGTAAAAACTTCTCCAAGTATCTGTTCAACAATGGACGCTAACAATAAGATGATGATTCTTAAAGGTGCACAGGTAATTTTAATATAGATTGACTTTACAGCTCTCTGACATTTCATCCACATCCCTCAGTATATATTGCATCCAAATATGCTTAACTCTCAAGCTCTAGCTTCAAGAGGAATTTGTGAAGTAAACTACAAAGATTCCCTTACATTTACCATTTTTCTGTAGTGTGGATTCATTTTTAATTCTTTTTCTCTCAGCTTGTGAAGGGTTATTGCCCGCATTACTTGCGAACCTCTCCCTATTCTAAAAAAGCTAATTTTGCACCGAGCGTGCCGAAAGTGTCACTTTAAGAGGTCAGCTTTGTAACGAATTGTCGCGAACCGCATTTTCATTTATTAAGCCTTCGCTGTGCTGCGTTCTGCTCGTGCCAAAACAAACCCGTCGTTAAAGTGACTTTTATTAAACTTATTGTGTAATATATACTATTTAATATTATCGTTTTTTAAAGATTTTAAAATCTGCCACTTCTGAAAGATGAAGGCAAGGCCGCGTTGCTTTTGGTCCGTAAGTTTATATTACACTCCGCTTTAATTTCGCTGCAGCGGCCTGAATATAAATTCTTATTAAAAAAATTACAATGCCGTGCAAGCAATTAAATTTTTTAGTTTGACGGTGATCAGTTGGCTAAATTACTGGTGCATATCACGTTGAAATCCCAGAAAGCGTTTGTAACTAATATTAGAAGAGAGCAACGAGTGACGGTGGGCGCGCTCCGAGAGTATGGCAGGCCCGTGCCTCACCACACACGAAGCTTGGACGGCTACATCGCAGACCACCCAACGAGCGTTGGCGACCACGGCACAAGGGGCGATCCAAACAGATTCATCGTCGGCCGCCACCGCGCCGCCCCTCAAGGAAACGATAGTGACATTGTAATCAGCGCGCAGATTATTGAATGGAAGGGTCTTCCGGGCAATCAGCAGTGGCCTGTCGCAAATGTGTGTGAAATACGATGCACCCACACCACGGCCTTAAACTTTTTATCATCGCGGTTGGATTCAACATCATTTTTCTTACAATATTCCTAATTATTTCTCCTGCTGATGATAACTACTATATTATTTTAGTCCAGTCATTAATTCACAACTTAATTTAATTATATCGAATAGGCACAGGCAATGTGTTAATCTTCTCAGTGTTGATTTCAACGATATTTTGTTTCCGAATGTAGGATAGATGTAGATGTTTTGATTTTGTTTTTAAACTTGACCGCCCTTCGGCGTCTTTGAACATTGTAGACGAATTTTCTCTGATATTTTTTTAATAAATAAAATTTATATAATGTTAAAAATAAACACCCTTAAAATAATAGGTAATTTCTTTTTTTTAAATATTTAATTTCGCCTGAGTCGTTTTTTGCTATCCATTAATAAAAATATGTTGTAATTTCCCACAATAAAATATATCAATAAAATTTAACTGCACCAGGAACAGATTTTTGATTTGAGATGTAAGGACCAAATAAAGTTTCAAACACCATCGACAACCGAATAGGCTTGTTAGTGGCATATCGCAATATCTTATGGACACACATTAATATCAAAACAATTCAAAAAATCGTTTCAAAAATTTCACAATTCCAAAAATCAAAATGGGTCGTCACCCCCAAACAAGAACATACGACGTTTGTAGTAAGTTCAAAGAACAACAACACGAGTCCACTCGTAGCAGATGCGGTACCTAAGTAGTGTATTTATTTTGTAACTTTTAGTTGGTCCGAAGTAAGTAAGTTTTTTAAGACGAAAATCATAGGAAACAATAAATTGGTTTAATGGGAAAGTTGTGCATTTGTCTTACTCAACCGTTTTAAGGTTGGTAAAATTGATGCGCCTGAGGCGGCTGTGATACTTTGGGAAAGGTCTTCTGCTCATGTTTCTACATTTCACATACTAACCTGGACTTCGCGCAACTTTCTTTCGAAACAGCGATCTCCACACACTTTCGGACGATTTAACGGAATCTGGGTATATTAAAAAAATGCCGTAAAAATGCCGCCATCAAACTGAAAACTATGGAATCCATTGCCAGCGACCATGTTGGTTGTTAAATGCCAAAGGCCACTATTTAAAATCGAGATTTTAAATCTCGTGCATGCGAGTGTCGAATGGACCTCATTTTTTTTAATAGTTGCTTCTATAACTAGTAGCTATATGGTTAAAAGTGAGCAGCCGCATATTGCTTGACCTTCCAACTGTTTTTTCGTATGGGCTCAAAAGGTAGGTTGAAGATATTCTATATATCTGGTACACTCACATAGAGAATATAGATATAGAGGCTCTGCCTCTGCCAATAATATGGGAACTTATGAAGCAACAAAAATTTTTGAGAAGATGCATTCAATATTCAACGATCAACATGACCATTTACAGATCGTCAATAAGTTTGGATGTGGCATTTTTACGGCACTATTTTTTTAAAATATTCCTAGATTTCTCTTAAACGGGTTAAACGCTGTGAATAAAGAAAATGCCGGAAAATCATTTTCTTTTGTATGAAAACATCAAGTAGTGGGGCTACTATATTATCAAGTAACTATATGGGTACACCAGATACAGTAAAGGGAGAAAAACAAAAATTTTCACCATATTTTCTTTATTATAAATCTCAATAAATATTAAATATATTGTCACCATGTTTCACTTTCATTTCTCTCTTGAACGACATATTGAACTTGTTTATGTACTATCAAGATAAATGAAAAATAAAAAAAATCATATTTTGCATAGGATCCAAAATTTTCACTAAACCTATCATTTGCAAATTAAATGAACTGTCAACTGTGAAACAATAACCTTAACCTTACTTTGCAACATATTATATGTATATTATGCGGTAAACGGCATTTGACTCACGAGTTTATTTGACACGAGCGGAGCGCGTGTTTAAGAAACGAAATTTACCGAACGTGTTGCATACTATACTTTTTCTACGACCGTTAGTTTTTGGGTACATTTTCACAAAACAACACGAATACATTCACTGACATGAACGTCAGAATTGACAAACGTCAAAATTCAAGGCGTGGGAAATATCTCCGAAAACATCTGATTGCTCCCAAACTCGTACGGTAAAATCCCGCAAATGTCTAATGTGGCTCGGATCCGTGGGAAACGAAACTGACATGGTAAAGTGACGCTTTCCGCACGCTAGATCAGTGTGTAATTAGGCATTTTACAGGCGGGAGTAGGAAATAGGATATTATGCAACAAGTGCGTTAAACGGCATTTGACTCACGAGCTTATTTGACACGAGCGGAGCGAATGTTTAATAAACCAGTGAGTTAAAAAGTCTACCGAACGTGTTGCATACTATACTTTTTTAACGAACGTTAGTCTTTGAGTATATTTTCGCAAAACAAGAATACATTCACGGACATAATCGTCAGAATTGACAAACGTCAAAATTCAAAGCTGGGAAATATCTCCGAAAATATTTGATTTCTCCCAAAACCCCTGCGGTAAAATCCCGAAAATGTCCGAAGTGGTTCGGAACCGTGGGATACGAAAATGGCATAGTAAAGTGAAGCTTCACGCACGCTAAATCGGTGTGTAATTAAGTATTTTACACACGTAAAAAAAATATTTTTGCAAAATATTATGCATTTAACTTATTTACTTAACTTTCATGATAATATCAACGATTCAGAAGGAAAACCGTTCCAAAGAATTTAGACTTACATACAAAATCTTATCTCTGATCACATATTTTGTTGGTAATATCTTCATTTAGAACCATCCAATCAAATTATACCTTATGTTGCAGATGGATAAATAACACAAACAAAACTAATGTTCCATTAACAAATCTTTTATTTACTTAATAGCAAAAGGCATTTTTAAAATAAATCCATGTCCTGCGAGCAACCAATATCCAGAAAATCATCATCATAAGTCTTTAACCTCCCTCTAGTATTTTCCATACTATTGTCAGTAGAATGGCTATCATTTACTAAAGAAGTAATTTGACCCGATCCCATTCCATCTCCACTCTCCTGATGATCTGTCTCAGGGCTTGGAGGTGGATTCGTGCAATTTCCTTCATCCAAAGCGTCAAGGTTTGTTTTTGGATTTGGATTCTTACTGGCTAATAATTCAGCGTGGGTAAGGAGGTCTGGCAAGAGTTTTGATTTGGCTGAAATAATTTTTAAAGTTATTTCTCCATTTATAGTTGTTTTGAGTATTTCATTTTTATATTTAATGAAGACTTTAACTGAAAAGCAATACCTACCAACATTGTTAAATTTACAGTATTATTGTATTAGCATAAAATAAAATGGACATAAACTTATTATTTTGAATATTTATATTTTCGAATTATTTTATTCCTTTTACCTGCTTCATCTTTAAACTTCTGTTGCCTTTTCTTTCGCTTCTCCTTAAGCATTTCTTTGAACTTTTGTCGATCTTCTTCAAAAATTTTTTGTTTCTGTTCTGGTGTAATATGATAATCATTTCTAACAAGGTATAAAAATAAACCACCTGGTGTTCTTCTTCTTGTTTGATTCTAAAAGTGGGGGTTGGTTATTATTACCTGTTCAAGTGTTATTGAAAATTGTTATATACTTACCATTATCAACATGCCGCCTTCTTTTTCTATTCTTCTGGTTTCTTCAAATAATTCAAAAGTTTTCTCCTTCCCCATGGCATCCAAAATTTTTACTAAAAATAATGGTTTGTACATTATATGAAATATCACAACAGATCTATCTGGAAATTATCTGATTTACTCGACCAGTCATTTTTAAGATAATATGAGGCTAAGAGGGAAACAACATTCAAAAATATGGAACTTACATACAAGATCCTCTCGTTCTTCACATAATTTGTTGGCTATGTCTTTGGCAATATCTTCATTTATACAATTTATATCCACATTTAAATCAGGAATAATTCTTGGTTTACCCTTTAAGTTTCTTTCCTTATTGGTCGGTTTATCTTTAAATTTAAAAGCTGAATTTTTTCTATCATCTCTTGTTCGTTTATTGCCCTGTCTTTGATCAATTTGTTCATAATATTTTCTTGCTAAACTGTAATCATAAGATTCAACATTACGAGATCTATCCTTGTATGTAACATCGCAACTGTTGAAAGTTTCAGCTAAAATGAAAATGTATCATGTAATTGTAAATTGTAAATTGAGTAAAATAAAAATGTTACGCGAATTAAATTACCCAACACATCCTCTTGCATTCGAGTACTCCATATGTCATATTTCTTGTGTTTAGTGGATCGGGGAAGAACTTTAGGTTGCAATTTAACTCTTTTTGGCTTTTTAACTATTTGCGTTCTACTATCCAAATCACTGTCGCTATTGCTTGATGCAGATTCTTCTTCGCTGTCACTATAAGAAATGTTATTCACAGGAGGAAACCTCTGAGAAACTTCTTGTGCATAATTTTCTGGACGTGGAAGAGGTCTGTACTCACAGTCTTCATTTAGATTATCTTCAATCTGCGAATGCATGTAATAGAAAGTAAATTTTCCAATTTAATTTCAATTTGTTCTACCTCTCCTTCTTCTAGAGCAACTTCTTCTTCCATAATTTATTTGGATTAAAGGCTTTATCAAGAATAATGAAGTAAATGATTTTAACTGGATCCGTTAGATTCACCAATATTTGTGGAACGATTTTAAGAACCGTAGAATTCAAAATTGAGTATTCTGCAATTGTTATTATTAATGGTTAAAAACCTCTTTGCGGGCATTTTAAATGTCATTCGCATCATTTTGTAATACGTCTAACTGTTGCCTATTGTATTGTCAAGGCAAATTGCTTAAAACCATTTGGCCATCAATTTTGGTTTACTTTTTCTTTGAATTCACCATCTCTTTGAAATTAGGTACCTCCCATGGACGGGATTTTTTTCGTGAGCATTGCACGTGGCGTTTAACCTCCGTTCGCTCCCAACAGAATCCCTTGTAATCGTACCAAAAAAACTTGAAATCGGTTTCCACTGTCTGGATTTAGTGTTCAGTGAATGTTTTAAAGTGTGTAATCGTTGTCGGCCCCGCTGTTTCTTTCCGTCGATGCCCGTTGGTAGCCGGGTGGGCGCGGATGGTCCGCAGGGGTAGCGGGAGAGGCCGTGTTTGGTTATCAGTCAAGCTATGAACAAATATTGGTTGCAGTTTTTCTGTTAACTGTTGGTCTATGACCAAAAGAAAAAAATTCTTCGGCATTGGTCGATAATGGGCGAATGCCCATAGTATTACCCTAACTGTGAAAAGCAAAATGAAGTAGAACCTCGCAGGGATTATCAACATCAACAAGGGATACTTAGAGACTCGATGAGAAGGAGCAAAAGCAGTTTTTTTGTTTTTAAAGCAAAATCAATCTAAAAGTAGTATATAACGTCGACAAGTTACAATTCGTAAATGACAAAATAGCTCCTCCACGAAAGTTGGTAATGGACCTTTTGTTATTTTGCTCTAGACTCGTCAATCCCGGGTAACACGTGGTGAATATATAAAAAAAAGCTTTCTATGAGAGGATCTTTAAAAGTTTTCTGCACAAATTAATCCAAATTGCTATCTTCTTTTTCAATTGATGGGAAAGTAATATAGCCATTAAAATATAATTGTTTTTGGTTCATTGTGCCTGGAACTTATAAGAAAAAGAAGAAGAAATTCACCTGACATAATTGGACGTGTTTACTAATGTCACAGCTTAATGTTATGGAAAACATCCTTTATTGTGATCGCACCGATCAGAAATTTGGAGCACGTTTTAAACTCATATCCAACTTGCGGTTGTCATTATTAATTTAAGGCTGTAACAATCGCGTTTGTAAAAATGACGGTAATAGAGGGATCCCTAAGCAAATGGACAAATGTTATGAAAGGATGGCAGTACAGATGGTTTGTTTTGGACGACAATTCGGGATTACTGTCCTATTACACAGTAAGTAGCTTTTTTCCTTTATTTTAGTTTTACTTTATTATTATTATTACAATATAAAAATATGTTAGTGTTAAAATATTATACTTATTTAACCTAGACAGCTTTGCCCAGAAAACCTGTATGCGTCAAACCCAAAATTAATTAATTTATGAAATTATCAATTTGATTAAAATTAGAAAATTAAATTAAATCAATAGAAAAATTACTCATACAGGGCACACATGATGGAGTTATCCTAGATATAGTTTTTGGCTTCTCTGGAAAATATCTTAATACATAGGAAGCAAATTTTAAAATTTTGTTTCGAAATTAAGTAGTTTTTACCCATTAATAGTTTGATTACTTTTAGTTAAAATAACCTTTCTGTGAGTATAAGCCATAGTTTGATAGTTATGCTTGTTTTTTTAGCATAGCATAGCATAGAATCGGTGCAAGTTTTTTTGGAAAGAAATTCTACTAACATAAAATTTATAAGTTTTTATCGACCAAGTATTTCATACCATTATTTTACTTAATCCTTAATCGGTGTTGCGAAAGTGTTAATATTTGATGTATTTTATAGTTTTCGAAATATTGCCGCTTAATTTTTTTTACTTGGGCTGTTCCAAAAAGTATGATAGAAGGGAAGTGCGCGTATACTGTTACGAATGCCATCTAATATTTGTGTCCAAGTACTAAAGTACTGTCATGGCGGTTTAAAGTAATGGACTTTATTTATATTTTAATAAAAGAAATTTTTAAACTATTTCGACGTAATTTTTTTTTTTCACATTTTCCATTCCATTTTCATGACTGGGCACAATCACTAGAGACGTTGAAACTTGTGTACACTTTTTAACATTGCCGCTAATGGGACTCTATCTTATACTATTTGGGCTGCTCTTAACATTCAGTTAATTTGTGTTGTTTTGTGTTTAATAGTTGTCAACGTATATAGTTGAAATTTATATTTGTACAGTGTTTTCAGTTTAATTTTTATTCTTAATTTTTTTAACATTACTCAATAAATTTGTTCAACAGGCAGATATGGTAAGTTAATAGAGTAAAATTGTAAAACTTGAAATGAAATTTATATCTAGGAAACTGTGAAATTTAGATATAGAATATTATACACGAAATATGTCGAGGATTTTCTGGGAATCCAAAAAAGCAGTAAATAAATGGTGTTCCTTTTTTTCAAAGAAACTTCCACAGGCTATTGTAATACTATTTATAGATCTTCTGGATTCCTTCTGCATCGGTTGTTTATAAATCAAACTTGCTGCTGTTTCGCCAATCATCCTGTTGGTTTCAGAGCTAAACTGAAACTCAGAAGGAAGAATCAGTTCTTGCAAAATGTACCAACTTTGTCCTTGCCCCACGTATTATCCCAGTAGAGGAAATTTCAAATGTCAAGTCTATCCTAAACAAACTGCCATCTCGCGAAAGCAGAATGCAATACTCTCAAATCTCCAAAATCTAATCCCGACATCATAAAAAAGCAGTTAAAGGAAATGTTGTGGTGGTCATGAACACAAGTGAATATCAGGAAAAAATTCAAGATATTCTTACATACGGTTTCTATAGCCAACTTTAAAAAGATCGTACGTCATCTATGGAATGCATCTTAAAATCTGTTATTAAGGCTTCTTCTCGTGAAAAGTCTGTCACCCCTCATGACTCTAAAATTCCTCGTCTCTACGGAATCCCTAAGATTCACAAACCAGGATTACCCCTTCGACCTATTGTCAGCACCATTGATTGTTCAACATATTCTCTAGCAAAATATCTAGCTTCCATATTAAAACCTTTTACAGGAAAAAACACATTACAGTAGTTCTACGCCATATTCTGGCTCGCTTCGACGTAGAATCCTCCTTTACTGAAGTCGTACACCTAAAACTTTCAACATTATTTCGGATATATTAAAATCTGAAAATCTTAAATTTTTCTTGACACGGTCAAATTTAACAACATATGTCGGGGACAGCTATGGGTTCTCGATTATAACCACTCATTCCGAATATATTTGTATTGTGCCTTTGAGAGGAGGACCCTCGACACCTTCCATCTAAAACCAAAATTATGGAAACTCTACGTTGATGATACTTTTGTTATTTGGCTTTATGGTCAAGAGTCCCTCCGAGAGTTTCTTAGCCATTTAAACTCTATACACCCTAACATACGTTTTATCATTCAATTAGAAACTAATAACAATCTCTCATTCTTAAATATTCTTATTAATAGAAAATTAGACCTAATACTGAGTTATTCTGTATACAGTAAACCTACGCACACAGACCGATACCTTAATGCATTGTTACATCAACTGGCCCAATAATTATCGGTTGTTGTCAACTCTGTCTACAGAGCCGTAAAACTGCGGCAAAGAATACACTGGAGAGACCGGACTAAAAATATCAACTAGGCTCGCAGAATATGAAAGAGCCTTAAAACTACGACAAATAAACTCAGTTGCCGAACACAATCGCGAAATCGGACATTAAATCCTATTCGATAAAACTAAAATTCTTGTATGTAATCAATTCTTTTACCAAAGAAAAATCCGAGAATCTATAGACTCAGGTCTTTACCTTTCACCAATATGGAGTCAGTCATCTGTGACGATGGATGTTCATGTTCCTCCTTTAGCTCCGCCCCCTTCAAACAATATATAAGCATGTACAGAGTACAATGCGAGCCAGTTTCAGTTTAACTCTGAAGGACCCAACAAGATCATTGGCGAAACGTCCGCAAGTTTGATTTATAGACAACCGACTCTGCAGGAATCCAGAAGATTTGTAAATAGTAAAGGGTGTTGCTTTTAAAATCAGAAATTGTACACCCGCTTCCTGTGTATATTCGGATGTGTCGACATCTTGAAAATATTTTAGCAGAATTGCCATCGCCAATATTAGTTTAATTCCAAATTTTGAAATTTTTGCTACTTTTAATTTTCTCATAACAGGTGGGCGAGGTGTCCAAAAACATCTTTAATGTTTACAAAGTATTTTCCATTCTCAAATCCATGCTTTTTCAAGAAGAATCACCAAAACCTAATGTGTCCTCTGCATAGGAAATTCTTCTATATATAAATTAAGCAATTAATATTTTGAATAACTTGGGCTAAGTACCAGCTAAAAACAGCCCCACGCTGAGGTACAGTAGGTTCAGTTGCAATATTTTAACTCTTTATTTATGCTATTAATAAAGAAGTAAACCAGAAACTGAACTGGTGCCTGAGGTTTTGTAGACGAATAATAATTCACACGTTTCTAATGTCATTTCAAGAAAGGAATCAGTTCATTCTCCAAAATCTATGTTCCAAAACAATAAAATATACGTTGTATATTGCGGTGTTTCATAAAAAGGGAATGAAAAACTACCAAATACTTTTTAAGCACTTTATTAGTAGCCACATTTTGAAATGTCACAACATTTTTACAATTTACAAATAATCTTTTATTTTCTACAAATTATTTACATCAAATTCTATGAAATGTACATGTCATTGTTTGATTTTTTGTATGTGATTTTTCGTGTAACTTTGATGATAAAAGTCATAAAACATCTTGAAGAGGAGAACTATGTTCGGCAAATAAAGCAGTAGGAATGATTTTGGAACATTACAACTTGGAAGAAGAGCTAGCAGGGAATGCAGTATCAGGATGCAAAACTGAACCTGAAATAAAAAAAATATTCTGTGTTTAAATGAATGAAATTGTTCCAGAAGAATAAACAGATTGGACAAACTATATTGGGGTTACCTACATACATAACAGACTCACTATTGAGATTTATTATAAGCTAAAAATGCCATTTTCCGCTTATGCGCAAATGAGTTCATCAAATTTACCTTCCGGTTCACTGCCTTAACGTGAAGAAACTTATCTACAGTAAGACTTACCATTTGTGCAACGGTCATTCGAGGTTTCCATGGAACTAACGCTTTTTGCCATTCTGTACCTAACGACGCCAGATAATAGTATGTGTACATCATTACGTGAATGCTTGAGTTAATTATTATTGGAAATGATGCCATGCCACCTATATAGAACAATACAGTATTATTCTATCACTTTCACAACGAATTGATTTATTTAAGTGTATTACCTCCGACAAATTTACATGCAATCCATGCCAGAGTCATTGTCGATGCGTGGTGGTAGACATGTAATGGACTAACTTGGTTATACTTTTTCCTCAAAACAAAAAATACGGTCTCGATTAATTCGATGACTTTCAAGAAGTATGTCCAATGAAACACATTCAACAATTGTACTGCATATTTATCGTTGGAGTAGTCGACAGGTTGACACCCCAAACTTAGTCGTCCTTGCACCCATCCCGAATTTAATGTCTGAAAACATGAAAATTGGTCATGCGAAACAGACTTTATTAAGATTTAATTTCATGTTGAAATATTATGATGAATATCAAAAAAGTCTGTCATTTCTTACCGGAGAGAAAAAAATCTATACATATATCTAGAATTTTCTTATTTCTTTGGTTAGAACAAACTGTCAACCATGTTGATTGTTGAACGCCGCAGGTCTGACTGCATATTCGATCTGCCTTTGCATTATTTTCTGATGTTAGTTTGGGCAAGCCCTTCTCATAACTAGTAGCTATGTGATTATATCCAATAGTAACTCCTTGAGACTTAAGTTTCAAATATTTTATAAATATTGAAAATAAATATATGTTCTGTTTCCGGTATCTAAATTAAATTTTCCATTTTTCGATGAGTCTCTTTTGTAATTGTGTGTGTTAAATATCTATAATAAAAAGGCAATTTCTATCCCGTTGTGGCATATTAAAATTAGTAGTAGCACATGCTAACCTAGAGTTTTTAATTAAGTGCCTTATAATTTAGAATCGACTTTTAAATTAAAGCTTTAAATCTTAAGAAAGGTCATCCTAAGCATCTCGCCCAACACTGCCTTCTCTTTCTCTATTCATCGTAAGCATTTCCTGGCACTCTTTAGTGTGGAATATACATATAAAAAAAATTAAATTGCTAGTTAAATGAGGACGACTGAACTATGCAGTCGGAGAATGACCCTTCTTGTCAATGCTCAGTAACTCGTTAGAAGAATATTTTCAGTTGTAACGGTATCGATACAACGCAACGTTAATGCAGTTTTTACATTGATGATGCAATTATATATGCATGAATGAATTGCAAATTAAATCATGGACCAGTAATTGAATCGCTAGCCTTTGTATTAAAGGTTAGTGACGTCTAAATAGGAATGTTTGTAGAAGCAGAGTTCAAAGATTAACTAAAACAATTATTTGATTCCAAAATTATACTACTTACCAAATAAATTAATACTACGCAAGCTACGATTTGGAATAAATTATACACTCTGATAACAGCTTTTAGTTTATACGGTTTCCTATTTTTCATATACGTGGGTAAAAATACGTAAACGGAGAGTAGGTACAAAGCTATTATGGTTAACGTCGGCCAAAAATTTTCCATGAAAGTCCAGTTTCGTACTCTAGGATCTGTAAATAATAACAAAGTTAGTTAATCCACCTTCAAAGGCGCTCTGTATAGTTCATTTGTTATGAACATTTTGTCGTGATATTTCTTTCCTGATTGTATGTATGACATTTGCTTCCAAGCATGTGTTTAGGAAAATAAACGTATTAATCAACTTTTAACCTTTTTAATTATTCTCAGAGTCAGATCACTGTCTCCCGTATTTTTCGAGCAAAGTAGAAACTCTTCTGGAAAAGAAGTTCAAAGCCATTGGGAAACGAAACATTTATAATCGTTTACATACATATATGTTGCATATATATATGTCTGTTATGGGTAATTCGCAAAAATCGTCCTTGTGCAAAATATCTAGGTATTCTGGAAACTGACGAATTTATCGGGCATTATGCAAAATCACTACTATTTTGAGTAATCTGCAAATTGGACATGCCGAATGTCTGATGCGTTAGTCGATCTGCGGATTAAAGATATTTTTTTCCACATTGTGTAGGACGGTTTGTGAATCATAGTGGCGAGGGGAACGAAAGAAATATTTTTGGAGAAGTTAAATTCATTATGCAGTCATAAGAACCCCAGCAATGTGCTTTTATCATATTCTGAGAGTGCAATTCGTCTATAACAAATACTAGATGGCGTTAAATGTTTGACTGTAATCCATTGTTGCCAAATTGAACCTTCACCTGTCGCCTATTATTTTATCAACTCAACAAGACAATAACAGAAACTCACCAATACTAACCAAATAGTTGCTTCTTTCTACACAGAAATATTTGGTTAGTTTCTATTGTTCTGTTGTTTAGTTGACTTCACACCGACTAAAGGGGCGGTATGTATAATTTTAGATTAGGTTTATATTTGCGTTTGTGTCAAGCACGTTTTACATTATTTCAGTATTTGTATGTATTTGTTATGTTTATTTTTACGTTGCGATTCAATTTGTTAACAGTTCTGCTAATGAATCGAAAATTTTGTTTAGATTTAAGAAAAATATATGTAAAAATGGCTTTTTATTTATCATCAAGTTATCTAGCCAAACACAACACCTTTAATCCTCAGATTGACTAACGCATCAGACATTTGATAGATTGCTTAAAACGGTGACGTCAATTTGCAGTTTGCCCAAAATAGTAAATTGATCAGTTTGTAGAATACCTAAACTTTTCGCACACTGACTGGATTTTGTACATTCTCGATAACATGCATTCTGTAATGTCGGGAATTATTTAATCCAACGTTTTCTTTAGTGTACTAAGAAATTTCTGTTCATAAGACACACAAAACAATTATTGACCGTATTGGTCGATCCTTTCAGTGCTAGTTCCAGTTCCAAATCCAAACAATTAGCACCTAGAGCAAAATAATGTGCTTTTTAACAAACAATTCGGATTTTATATAGTACCTAAATGCCACATTTTGGAATATACCTACGTAGGAAGCACTTTGTAATCTTCGATTCTCGAGGAGAAACTTTTACCATTGGGACGCAAATAAATGTTTTTGCAGGTTCTGGATGATGTGCCTCAAGATTCGAGCATTTCGATACATTTATTTGACTTTGTTTACTAGACGACTTCTGAGGGTTATCCCAATTTCTTCGTTATATGTTACATAGAAATTTTTTGGATTACCTTTAAAATTATTTATTTGAAGATTCATTTTAGTTCAAATATTCCAACAAATATTAAAAATGAATAATGTGTATTAAAGCAAAATTTACAATTAACAAAAGTTTTACGCTCTGACCGTAGTTATAGTAAGATCATGCGATGCAAAATATATTTTTAGTATAGTTGGATAAATAATAAAGTACGACTGTCGCAATTGTCACTGGCAGAATTTTGAAACCAGTGCTAAGAATCTAAAGTTGTGAAGGAGTTTCAGCTACTTTTCTGACATCGTATTTCGTATTCTCTTTAAAAATGTGATTGAATTGAATGTTATTCTGAATATCCAAATTCTGATATCGTTGATTTCATATTAGTGCTAATGACGCCTGGGATATCATTCTTTCAGTTATTAAAAATTCACCCTAAATTTGTTTGAACTTTTTTGCAAGTTATATATCAGTATGAAAAGAACATATGGACAGTTTTTATTTTTGCTAAGCAGCAATTAAAACCAAGAATCGACGAGTGTGAGTTTGAAATAATATGTATTAATACACTTTGTACTTAATAAAATTGTAGTCGAGCTTTCCGACTTACCAGATTTTTCGTCAACAAAATCGTAGACATATTGTAGTACGGTTGTCATTTTTGATATCCTAATACCCAAAGTATTTAAACTAACTAAAATTTCATTTCAAAATGTGGTAGCGTCTCGAATGACACCCTAAATACAACTAAAGGGCTTAAAATCTATTAGTCCAAAGTTGTTTAAAATATGACTTTCATTATGTAAATTATTTCCTCAAATGTCAAAGGGCAATGCTTGTTTGTTAATAAAATTTTTTAGAGACATTACCTATTCAATTACGTCTATCTATCTGTGGTTACACGTCTTGACGTTTGAAAAAATACGTTGTGGTGAAACAATGTTTAAAATCTAATGGCCACCTCATTGCCCCTAAAACATCCTTAGCCATTACTACACTATCAGAGGCTATAGATTGTACTTTTGGATAAACTTTTGAACTCCATTAACTCATGGTTTGGGGCATATTATTATTTGTATTAGTATTATTGCAAAATACATCACCTCTACGCCTTTTCTATAAGCCACGAAATAAGAGAAAAGAGTTATATGAAAATATCTGCTATTCCAATTGCCAATTGTAGCCGTATCAAGCGAACCACCTTGCACATTGGCAACTCTATAAAGTTGGCTGAATACTTTCAAACAGGGTTTATAATTATAATTGGTCTATAATACAAACGAACGGGTCCTCTTAGTCTTGACCGGAATAGAACAGAAAACCAATCTTACTCTTCTATTCTGATTCTATTGAAAACCGGTGGAATTTTATTCCATTCTCTTAAGTTTTTTAAGGAAGGAACTAAGAAAATGACAATTTCTTCTGACAGTTCTTTCTTTTCAAATATAAAGTTTAGGAGGATAATAATAATTTATTGTTATATTGTTGTATCCTGCGTAATGTTGACGACGCTGAAAAATTATTTGGTATAAAATATTTTATAAAATTTTACAAGAGATAAAAGTGATGGGAATCTTTGAACTTTCCTTGTTCATTTATATCAATGTAAATCTTTAACTGGTTTAAAATTTATTCGTTCGTTCTTCTTTGTGTCCATGATATGCGCAGCATCTTTCGGCAGCAACACATTTTAAAAGCATCGACAGCACGTTTGTCTGTTTTCTTGAGTGTGTGTACAGCGCTCCGATGCATAAAGGAAAACTGAGAGTTCCAAGGTTTTGACGAGTCTCATCTTTGTAGACAGAGCTATGTCTCGACTCTTTCAGATCCTGCTCAGAATAGCAATAGCTTTTTTGGCAACCGCTGACCGCTTTTTGATTTCCTCCGTGCACCCTCCTGAATTCGTTATGAGAGGGCCAATATACACGAACTGATTAACGACATCTATTCCATTTGTTTTGTCGATTTTACTTTACTTTTTATAAGTAAAGTTCTTAAATCGTCACAATTACTTACAGTTTTCAGCAAAAAAAGTGAATATGGAGCATCTAAATCAAACTCAGAGAAATGAAATTTTAATTTTTATTGGATATGGAGACCAAACGAGAATTCCAGAAGAAGTTTGTAATTTGTTTAACGCAAAATATCCAGAAAGAACCATTACAAGATCCACAGCGAGTAAAATTACCAGAAAATTTATAGAAACGGGACCTGCCAAAGAAATTATTTTAATTGGTGTTAAAAATATCCACCATTAACTTTTTGACAATAAACTAATCGGTTTAAAAACCCTTCCAAAACATTACTCACGATATGTATTTTTATTAATTTGTCTTATTTCTTATATAATTCTATATTTTCAAACTTCCATCTTTTGTGGTTTCCTTATAGACTTTTCATTTTAAATCTTCCCATAGGGAAAAATCCAGTGGAGTAATATCTCGAGATCTTGCAGGCCATACTATTCATCCCCTTCTAATAATCCACTGTTCGGGAAATTCCGTATTTAAATATTCACGTACTTCTGGAGCAAAATGGGGCGGAGCACTATACTGATGCAGCTAAACCTGTTTATCTGACATATCAAGCTGATTTGGATTTGGGAAAGCAACAGCGAGAGTAGCAATCAAGTCAAGTCAAGAGATTTTAATCGAAGAAATAAGTTCCAATAATTGGTGTTATTCAAATCTCTGCCCAAACATTATTTTTTTTGTGGATGTTGTGTATGATTTTTTCTCATCGATCGGGAATTATTTAAAATCCAATACCTAAAATTTTGTTTATTGAACTTACCATTTAAACAAAACGTGGCTTCATCACTAAACAGTATCTGATGATGAAAAAATGGGTTTAAGTTAGTTGCACATTCCCATCATAGTTTCACAAAACTGGAGTCTGCGGTTGGGATCACCTTCGGTTCAGCTCCTCTAGTTACGTAATCTTGTACGCATGATACTGTTCTTCTTTTAATACGCTTAAAGCCAATTCAGAAGATGCACGAAAGCGGTTCATCGTCAACTTCTAATAAAATGTTTGTGTTCTCCTTAGTTTTGCACGATCTCGCCGTAGACCATCTTTTTTACTCCCCGTGGATCTTGTAATGGGTCTTTCCGGAACTTGTAGAGTTCTCGTTTTGTCTCCATATTCAATAAAAATTAAAATTTCAATTCTCTAGGTTTCATTTCGAGGGACATTCACTTTCTTTATTGACAGAAATGAAATTGTGGTAATTTAAGAACTGTAATGGTACTAGCTAATTACATTTCAAAAATAAGTTTCTCTTTTTTGACCCACTCCGTATATTTTAAATTATAATGATGGTCGTGTTCAAGATTTTTTCTTGAAATTCAATAACTGAGTTTTAAATAAATTTGTTCCATATTTTAGCCGTTCATTATACGGCTGGATTCATAGTACGATTCTTAAAGAACTTTTTTTGAAAGTTTGAGCAGTGTCGCCATAAAAGAAAGCCTAAAATAGCTCCACATTCTGCAGAGAGTGTGACCAAATTAGAAGACCAATTAGAAGATAGCTCAACATTTTAATGTAATGAGAACAATCGTTTTTCCGTTATTAAAAGGCGGAGATAAGAAGAAAGAAAAGAAAGGAAAAAGGGACCTGGCGGACAAACATTTATTTCAGTTCAAGAAGTTCAGACGTTCCATAGGATCGTCGAGGATGACCCTTTCCAAAACGTGTCCACTTTGTGATATCTCAAGTGCCGAACTGCGGCAAAAAAGACCGAACTCACTCCCCAACAGAAGCAAGTACGGCTTATTTTTGCTTTTCACTATCAAGCCCAAGAACAGCAATTTTGGGATAGAGTCATATTTTCCAATGAACATATTATCCAGTCTTCCAGAAACTATAAAATCAAAGTGTACAGACCAGACAACAAGCATTTCAACCCTCGATTTGTCGGTACAGAGTTGGACGCCATTTCAGTGTAAATGTATTCTAGTAAATGTATGCTAGAGGTGTTTTGGATTGCGGGAAGATTTGTTGGTGAAATTGATGCCGAAATAATGCAGAACGTTATGGTGCCCAGTGTGGAACAGCCTTTCCCGGAAAATAATTATATTTTCCAACAAGACAACTGTTCTGTCCACACTGCAAACATCGTTACACAATGGCTCTAAAATGTCAACATTCAAACCTTCCCATGGCCAAGTAACGATCCTGATATCAACCCAATTAAAAACATATGGGGATAATGGTAAAATGACTGTATAAACCTCAAAATAGCCAGGAGCTATGGCAAGGTATTCAGGAAGTATGGGAAGATTCGTCACTTGAAGAAAACTTTATAACTCCTTTCATGACAATGATCTTCAAGCTGTGATTGATCCTAATGGAGATTGCTCAAAATATTAAATTTGTTCCACGTATTTCTTCTTGTCCTGTTTATGTTAAAATGTTGGACTGCTGCTGATAATAAATTTGTTACAATTCTTATAAAAAATAAACTTAATCATTTTAAAGTTGTTTATTTAAAAGTTAAAAATTATCTTTTTATTTTTGAAATAAATAAAAGTTGAGTCTGTTTAGTCTAGAAGTTTTTTAGTAATAAAACAACTAACGATAAACGATAAAATTTCTTAACAGATTTACCAAAGAGGAAGTCTCTTATGACTTACAATCATTTGCTGTTCAAATAAACAATAAATGCTGATTAATGCAAGAGTTGTCAGCAATAAAAATAGATTTAATAATACATTTTATTGTAAGAGATGGATACACTTTTCTTGTAGTTATGAAGTGACTCACAGAATGACAAAGCAATAGAGATACGCGCTCTTACGCCTTTAGTTGAAACGGATGAAACCTGAGTTTAGATCGCATATTTGGTGTCAAATTAAACTTTGTTTTGTGAAGATGTGATGATAGCTTGATGATGTATATACTGCTCAAAATGTAAAGTATAATATTTAAGCCTTATCAGTTTTTTTATGAAAGCTGTACATAGAAAATATTAAATATCTCAACAACGGCCAAATAGGAAATAAATCTATAATCAAAAATGTCGCCAACTTGAGGATATTTTATCCCGATGGTCTCACCAGTTTTTTATAGCTTCAGTTGCTTAAAAACATATTCGATATTTTTATTGAACCCTTCAGTTTTTTATTTGCATTTTCCAGTTTAGATCAATTTCTAATAGATCTTAGAGTTTGAGGATTTCTTTCGGACCTGCTGTTTCACAATGATAAGTCTTTCTCGTTTCTTATAGTCAAAAGAAAAAATGATGCGTGGTGTTCGGAGGGGATGCGTCAGATTGAAAAATGCAATTATCGGTATAGACAGTGAAGATGATAGCACTTTCACTATTACAGTAGATCACAAGACATTTCATTTTCAAGCCAGAGACGCCGAAGAAAGACAAAAATGGGTTCATGCATTAGAGGACACCATTATTAGGCATGGTCATAGTGTAAGCAACAATCATAAAATTCTTTTCCGTATTTTATCTAATAGTATTTCTGTAAACATTTTCGGCCTCTTTTAGCGATGGGATTTGCATCACGCAAGTTCCAATATAAAAGACTTGGATTATAGAGTCTCCGAAGCTGATGGTTATTTGCAGCTGATGATAGAGCAAACAAAAGTAAGTTACATTCGCTTGTGACCTATCAATATTTGTTCCCCTGGGTGTGATGGTGTTTGTATATATTTTTGTCCAACAATTAAATTAATTAAAATCATTAAATATTATGTAATTTTTGTCAGTTATCTCAGTTTATTCATAGACAATATTTAAAAATTTATGAATGTCACAATTTAGTAAGGATACTTAGAGTATATATTTAATTATTATTAATATTTATATATTATTAATATTATATTTAATTATATCTTATTATTCCTTTTGATGTTTGTTAAATGCAATTATTTCACCGACTGCGAGCGACACGCGTTAATCTGCAATATATTGCTTTCCATCAGTTAGTATTCCAATTTTAAATTCCGCAAAAAACTACGCAGTTGCAAAAAAAAGCGAAATGTGATCTGGTCGGAACGTTGGTAGCACTGCGAATCCTTTTTACGGAATTTTGAAAACTGATGAAAAGCAATATTATGTAAAATAGATTAATAGTAATAACAATAGTAATTTCGAAACTATGTATCACACACCAATGGTCATATACAGGGTGGATTATAATAAAGTCGCCAAACAGCAATTCTAGATTAAAGTTGTGAAAGTTTAAAAAACTGTTGTACCTTTCAATAAACATCAAAGGAACGGTTTACAATAAAAAAGTAATGACATGAAATAATGAGATTGTAGCGTGTAATTAAAGTTATCTACATATGATAAACTAGAATGTAAATTTATCCTCCATGCCTATTAAAAATCCCAGAATACAAGTTTTCATGTTGGGGACGGAGGATGTCTCGGTTGGTAAGGCGTTAGACCTGCCAACTCGACTTGCCGGAGGCTGTGGGTTCGATTCTCATCAGCCTTGGGTGTACTTGTGTTGGTCCGACTATAACGACTGGCCAAAATTGGCTAATTTACTCGTTGCTATATGGAAAAACCTGGGCAGCCGTCTAAGTAAAGACGCGAGCTCATTTTATTACGAAAAAAAAAAGTTTTCATGTCCATATGTCAAAAGCAACAAGAAAATAATAAAAGTTTAATACCCAGCAACTCAACATTAATGAACCTATGATTGGCGCATTACTCCCTATCCTGTATGTCATTCAATTTAGTTGAATAATATAATAAAATGTTGTTTTGCAAACATGTTTTTCTCGTATAACTTACAGTTTCCGAAAAAAGACATTCCTTATGTTTTCAGAAATTGGAAGAACGAATCCAAATTTTAAGTGACTCGGAAGATAAAATGAAGTGCGAAGTAATATTAGAACATGCGAACGTAAGTTCATTAAAAATCTTAGGCGCTCACCTTTTTTCACCTGTGACTCTTTTCAGGTCATGTTGGATAACATAAAACATTCAATAGTTCTTCTTCAAATAGCCAAGGTGTGTTCTTGGGTATAAACCTATAAACAACATCAATTAATATTTCTATTACAGAATACAGCTCACCCAATAAATGGCGTGTACCATCATCAGAGACCTGGGACATCTAACAGCGTTTCTTCAGCTCGTAGTGGTAAGTTGGTTCAAATCAAGCATATATATAGTATGGTCTCAGTGAATCTTCCTTTCCTTCCCATATTTCATTGCTAGATTTGATATTTTTCGTAAATTGTTTTTTTACAAAATTGTTGTATTTCAATTTTAATACATTTTTTCTGATCGATATGGTTCAAAACCCAAAAGAAGTTTTTTTTATGTTAACATGTGATGCATTAACAACCAGTATTTTTTTCATAATTAAATTGTATTATTTTTTAAAATATATTTTAAGGTCTCACTGAAGTTATGCCCGGCGAAAACGTACAGCAGGGTATTGAGTTAGGTTCTGAATGCATCGAAAGTAATCATAGACATCTTTTATCATTTGGTGAGTTTTCAGTAGAAATCTTGTCTTTTCCACGAGATAGAAATATTCTCATCAATGTTTTCATAACTCGGTTAAAATAATTTCTGTAATAAAATATTTATATTGTATGAATTTTATTTGTTTTATTTTAAGCTCCAGTTGCTTCACTCATTGTGCCAGATACTTCTTACTCAAGTTCAGAAGGTGAAGAAGACTTCTTTGATGCTAATGATGCTCCTTTTGGCGGAAACCAAGTGCCTACTCCAACGTAAGTGCTAAGTACGAACCCGGAAAGTTGCAGTTTTCACAAAGATTTCCTACATCCTCATAAAAAATCGTAACACTAACTTAAAGTTTCATAACTTATTTAGATTTTGGTATTTGGGAAGCATTGGACATTAACTCTCCTTCGATACTTTTCGTCCTGGATGTGCTAGTGGCAGTCAAGACCATGGAAGATTTTTTGATGTAGAACTTAATGACGTAGTCAGATTTTCTCCAGTTTTTTGCTATAAACTACAAAACAAATTGTGTAATCTAAGTAGATAGAAATATCAAATCTAAAACCAGATAGACCAGGATTTGAAAAGGTTGTTGTCTATAACTGTAACATTGGAACTAAAACTCAAATAATAAATCATCTTTCGAAAAGTTACATTTTGCAACTGACTGAAATATGGCAGAAAAACTGAAACTTTGGAGTTTTAATTTGATTATCACCTTTTTTTATTTCTTTTTTTAATTGTTTATTATTGGCCGTTCATTTCTTATTAGTAACATTTAATTAATTAATATAAATTGTTCAACACTGATCTCTAATTAATATTTTTACAATTTTTATTATTTACTGACTTTTGTACTACATTGTGGGCATTGCCATAATAAAATGAAATCAGTATAATTTCCTGAACAAGAGTAAACATGATCTTTTGAAGTATGTAAATAAATAATAAATCGTGGAGTATATTTTTATATTTTATTCACCTCAGATTTAACAAATTCAATAAGTTTGATTTTTTGAATTGAATTGTATTATATTTTCAAATGCGTTCAGTAAATATGTAAAATTTCAGTAACACAGTATTACTCATTTCAATTTTTTTTTGAAGGCTCAGGCTGTTTATTGTTGAAAGTGGGTCCTGATTTCTTTTTCCAGCAGCCTAAGATCATTTGGACGCGACAGTCATACCTCAGTGCCAATAATTCCTAAAACAGTACCACCAAACAAAAACAGAACAAAATCTTTAGAAAATTACGCGAATAAGGAAGGTCTAGATTATGATGGTAAGTATGCGTTATGATTTGTTGGAGGACTTGATATTTACGTATTCTGCAGCACTCTACGAGGATGATGATGAACCAGACGTGGAAATGGAAAGTCACGGTTCAGTCATCAGACATCTACTTTCCCAAGTAAAAATTGGAATGGATTTAACAAAAGTTATATTACCTACGTTCATATTGGAGAAAAGATCATTGTTGGAGATGTACGCAGATTTTTTTGCACATCCTGATTTGTTCGTTGCGTAAGTATACAAACTGCAATCTTTAATATATAAAAATTTTTGGTTTAAATAAATGAAATATGTTATTTATATTCTAAATTTTTTTAAGTCAGTGGTCATATTTTTTTAAATATTTTTTTTAGTATTACTGACGCCAGAGATCCAAGAGATAGGATGGTAAGCGTACTTAAATGGTATCTATCTTCATATCACGCTGGCAGGAAAAGTGCTGTAGCCAAAAAACCATATAATCCAATCCTAGGTGAAATATTTCGTTGTCATTGGAATTTACCGCACTCCAGCCCAACAGAACAATGCGTGCCTGATGGACCTGTGCCATGGTGCAACGGAAATCAAACGACTTTTGTTGCCGAACAAGTATCGCATCATCCGCCCAGTAAGCGATTTCCACAGCAAATTATAATGAAGTTGTTATATTGATTCACTCACTTTTTTTTACGTCGAGGCGTTCTGTCTTAAAAAAATAAAAACCATCTTCACGTCTTGTGAAATCGCTATGATTCTTAGGGAAAAAAGGGGAGGGATCGAATTTACGCTAAATTAAGTGGGGTATACTGAGCAAAATTTTTGTTTGCACCTAAAGCGTCATTTTTTTTCTTCAATTCAAAATAGAAGTTTTAATGTAAGAACAGGCTTATTGATGTTCGTCGCAAAGCCAGTCTTCTTTTTCAGGTGCCTGTTGGTTTCGAATATTAGCGATCATTCTGGTTATATTGACCTTGTGCTTAAATTCTTCGTCTTCCAGGTGCTCTCTAACCATAAACTTTTCCTTGGAGTATTTCTTTGAGAAGGTGGTATTTGCTGTCGTTTCGCATTATATGGCCTAGGTACTCAAGTTCTCTCTTTATAGTACTTATCACTTCCTTTTTTTTGTTCATTCTCTAATCCGTTGCTACCCTGTCCACCCATGAGATCCTCAGAATTTTTCGGTACAGCCACGTTTCAAATGCTTTCATAGTGGTGTCGAGAAAACGTAGCATCTTAACGAGTCTGATTTTAATGTTTAGATCTAGATTGTGGCTTTTAAAAAGTTTTGGAATTTTGATAAAGGCTTGCCTTGCTTTCTCTATTCGGCACTTAATCTTTTGAGAGATCCCATTGTTCATTAATTGTCGTTCCCAGATAAGTGAACTTAGGAACCTGTTTCACTGATCTCTCACTAATAAACAGTTTTGGATATTTTGTTTAGTTATTATCATGAACTTGGTTTTACTTATGTTCATGCTTAGGCCATATTGGTCACTGGCGTCGTTTATCCTGTTCACTAACTCTTGCAAGCCATTCAAGCTATCAGCGAATACAGCAGTGTCGTCTGCATATCGAAATGTTGTTAATAAATTCTCCTTCGGTAGAATTCCATTGTCGATATTGGCCAAGGCTGTAGTAGTACAAGTTGAAGATCAAAAGAGAAAGAATACATCCCTGTCTAACGCCAAGTTGTTTAGCAATGGCATTGATTTGCTTATCTGTATTAGATTTTATGAGAGCTGTTTGATTCCAGTATAAGTTTCCTATGATTTCAATATCCTTGTCATCCATTCCAGTATTTTTCAATACACTCTGTATATAAGTAAAATAAAATAAATTAATGTAAAAATTAAAATTAATGTAAGTAATTATATGAGATAATTTTTAATTTCAGTATCTGCATTGTATGCTGAACACTTCAACAAAAGAATAAGTTTTAATGCGCATGTTTATACTAAATCAAAATTCCTTGGATTATCAGTGTGTGTTTACAACATAGGACAGGGAGTCATATCAGTAAGTAAAATGTTTTGGAGTTGCTGATATTGAAATTATTTGTTGGTGTAAATTAGGCTCAAAGTGGTAAAATTTCTAAATAATGAAAAATAAATCATTTTTTGAAAAATTTTAAACAACTTGATTTAATAGTGAGTGTTAAAAACGTAGTAATTGCTCTGTATTTTGCATGCAGATCAATTTGATACATTTTCTTTTGACGTTACATCTTTTGAGCGCATTGGATTAAACCTTTTGATCAGTTTTATTTACCAGAGGTTAAAGGTTTTAGATTATAATGAAGAATACATAATAACATTCCCAAATGTTTATGGCCGATCGATTTTAACAACTCCATGGATCGAACTGGGGGGAAGTACGTCAATAAGCTGCCCACAAACAGGTTACCATTGTAATATAGAATTCATTACGAAACCATTTTATGGGAACAAAAAGCATAGAATAATGGCAGAAGTCTTGGATCCAGATAAGAAAACATTCCTCACCATCAATGGAGAATGGAACGGTGTAATGGAAGCGAAATGGAGTGATAAAGTAATTAAATCTTTCAAAATATTCTGAGATTACACGACGTCCAACTCGAAGTGTAATAGAATAAATATAATGTAAATGATTTTTGTACAAATTGTAGGAACCAGAAGTATTTATTGACGTAAACTTACTTGACATTATCAAGAAGCAAGTAAGACCTATCAGTCAGCAAGAAGATAATGAGTCTCGTAAGTTGTGGAAAGAAATAACTGCAGGTTTGCAATTCAACGAAATTGACAAAGCAACTAATGCTAAACAAGCGTTGGAAAACAAACAGAGGGATGAGGCAAAAGAAAGAAAAGAGGCGGGTCTAGAGTGGCAGACCAAGGTAGGCAATGATCGGTTTCGAAAATCTGATTTTCATTAAATCTCATTTCGCGAGTTACACGTAGTGTGAGCCTATAGGCAGGGCTTTTTTTAACCTCGTTCATAAAATGTAATAACCAAATTCAAGACTGTCATAGATATCAAATTTTTTTCATATCGGGTCATTTTTTAAATATAGAGTGTCAATGTTTTTAATAAAGTTTTGGGCCGCATATTTTCCGAATCTTTCTACTTTGGATTTTTTCATCGAATTTTATTTAAAATGTAATTATACCGAGGTGTTTATATTTCAAATTGAAAAACAATTTGAATTTGAGTATACCACCCAATTCACGCGGATTAACTGATTTTTATTTATTTAATTAGTAGATAATGGGGAAAACATGGTTAATTTGTGCAATGCAACTTCTACTTTGTTTGAATGAATTAATTAAAATATGGCCAACTACTATTGCAGTTAAGAATTTATGCCAGTAATCAAGTACTGACCAATACCATTTTTTTTATTCTGTAAGAATTCTGTACTTAATTCGGTACTCGTTTTCTTTACAGCTTTTCAAAAAATCTGGAGAAGATAATTGGCTTTATCTAAAGCCTCTTAAGGAGCGCCTTTCCAGCAATGCATCGAATAAACAAGAGGAATAAGTTTATAAATATTATATAATATATTGAGCCGAACCTTATTTTTTCGGGCAATTTAGTTAAACTGTGATATATTTTAAAAGCTTATATATTTTGCGCTCTGCATTAGACGTTATTTGATAAATCTGAGCTTTGGGAAATATGCCAACAAAAAGTTGTTTCTTAAATTTTATAAATCGTCTCAATTTTTAGTTGACTTTTGATGAAGTATACATGAAGTCAATATGACTATGTTACGCAGAAAACTATTAAATCACTTGAGGGTATCTGTATGAGGTATGGGTAGCTTTCTGAGTAATGTCTTTTGTCAACCGAAAAAAACTTTTATATACAATAATTTTTGTATATTAAGATTGCCATTGTAGGAAAGCATTTAAATGGCACAGGATACTTGGATCTAAGAAGTAATGTATGCACATTTTATTTGACATCTTATTTGACTGACACATTTCATGTATTTGAACTTGCATTCTTCACAAATTTGTTAAACTGGATTTGGTAACATTATGCTATTGAGAATTTCTAAAGTATGAGTTTCAAAGTGTTTAAAAGTATATGCCATTAAAGGTTCACAACGCTTCCTGAAACTATTCTGATTTTCACAAATGTTGTCACTTAATAGTGTATTACTTACAGAATCCTTATTTCTACAAATATTATATACACGCGCTTCAGTCAAGTGCAAAATTCTACTATTATCCCAATATTGAAACTAATATGCCCACTGGGATATATACTCTCCCTCATTCTTCGATGCACAGTGGTTTGGTGATCAATGGAGTTGATTAAAAAGTGCATGAACTTGAAGTTGCAGTCTCTCAGTGTTTTCATTCCCTGATCAAATTAACATCACATTGTAGCACCAGTCAGAGAGAACCTCAACCTAACAAATTAGTTCCATCTCGGTTCTTGGGACACTTTCATTCCAAAGCTTCGCAGTGTATAATTTACAAACGAGTTTGCTTTTGTAATTTTATTTTTACATGCGGGTATTAAAGTGTAGAGTACAAATATTATCCGCCTATTCTTGGCAAGTGTCTGTAGTAAAGTATGTGGTAAAATTTTTTTTGGACTCAATTCGGCCCGGAATAAGTTAAAATACAATATGGCAAAACAGCGTATGTTTCCCGTCTCTCGACATTTGCCGTATGGGACGGATAATATTTTTCAAGTTTTTTGAAGTTGCTATTGAGTTGAATTATTGTGAAAATAAGATACTGTATTTCCAATTTAATCATAATTATTTAACCTTATTCCTATGTTAGCTGTGTTAAATTTATAAAATCTGCGTTATGTAGCGTATTGTCGGTTATTTGTGGGAACATGATGGCTTGGTTAAAAAATATGCGGACAATGAAAGAAATTGTAATATATTGCTTTCAAGTATTGAAATAAAATTTTATCCAACAACAAGTTTTCCGATTTTTAAACGTTTTAAACGTAAATTAATTTATTAAATAAGATCAAGTTCTTTCAATTATTTGGAACTTTATTGTAATACATTCTAGGGAAACGAAGCAAATGGTGGCTTATAATTGCAGGATCTATTTCCATAATGCAGCAAACACATTCTTAGGCGTTGTTGAACCTTAACTATGTCGGGATGTGGTGCTCTTGAGTACTTAAATAATAATTCAAGCGCCTGAACAAATCTTCCAGTGGCGTTTTTTATTTGGCCGGTACTTAATAAATGTTCAGCTTCGGGTAATATTTGTTCCAAAGTCTGTAAAACAGAACCATAACATAAAAATAAAAAAAATTGGACGGTGAGCTAAGATATCTTTCAGCTTTTAAATTACCTAAACGGTATACAATATTTGTGTTAACTGACAAAGCTAACCAAAACTAACAATTGACAAGTTTAAGTTTAAACTTGTGTAGTTGTTGGAAAGAGGTAGTATAACGCATTCCATTGTTGAAATGTTGAATATGTTTAAAAACTTTTGTTTATAAAATCGATGAAATATTGTTTTCCTTTCTTAGGCCGAATGTAACTTTTGTGTGTTTGCAATATTTTAAGGCGTTTAATTAATACCTTAGAATATTGTTTTCGTGTCTTACGCCGAATGTAATTTTTGTGTGTTTGCAAGAGTAGTTTGACTGCATTGACTATTACCTACCATTAGCGCCTTGAGATGTGGATAAATATTGGTGAAACTGTTACAATAATCGCAACATAAGACCGGATCATCCTCGGGGCTTAAGAGAAAAACGAACGGACAGCCCTTAGTTTTGCAAGGGATTCTAAGTACATCTGCATCCATTTCGCTGAAAAGGGGCCAAAGTTCCACGCACGGTTGGCACAGGCATTCGAACCAATAGTTTTTCTGAAGTTCTTCCTGTCGCTTCTCAATTGGATGCGTCATATATAATGGTCCATAATTTTCATAAATTATATCGTCAGCTTTTATTGGTTTAATGGCTCTTACCACCATTTTGTTCTTTATGTTGTATCTGAAAAATTGCAAACATTAATGATTTAGTAAGATTACCAGTTTTTTTATTCAAAGTGATTTTTTGACACACTTTGTTAATATCAAATAACACTGAGGTGAGATTAGTTTGGTTTAGCATTTTGTTCTCAAATGCAATAAATTTTATTATTTTTGATCGGCAGTTTTACAGCAAGATGCGTCTTTTTACTTTGCGGTATCGTTACCTAAGCTTTTTCATTACCAAGTTGTGGTTAATGCTTCACTCGAGGTCTAAATTTATTTCCACTTACCGTACAATACTTGGGTCACATGAATGGTTAAAGAGTGATAGCGTAGGATACAAGCCAGCACCTACGGCAATATTTTCAAACCCATTTTTCATTATATCTTTGGTTGGGTCTCCATCTGTATTACTGAGTTCAGAAATTTCATGCGCATTAAACTGAAGTAATTGCAGATGGCGCAGAATTAAACTTCCAATAAATAATTCGTCATCGGTTAGAACGTTTTCGTTGTAATCACCGAAATATTTTGCGTATTTGAGAACCCTTAGGAGGTATATTGATATGCAGGCGTAATGGATTAGCTCTTCTTTCTTCCTCAGATGTTCATGACGACACAAAAAGAACACATTATCGTAATCATCTGATCTAAAAAAGTTTTCCATTTATAGAATCGAACTTTGAAATAATTTAACATTGAAAAATGAGGTCACAGCATAAAATTAAGTTTTCAGATGGATTAAGAAACATTTTAGATAAACCAGTTTCCTTTGCTCTAATATTTTCTTAAGACAATTTGTATTTCTAATTTTACAATAAAAAAAGTTAGACAAAAGTTCTAGGGCCGCAAATGAGTTTCTTCGGAATTCACTTGTTTTGTCTATGGGGTGTCAACAGTAATAATTAAAGATTAGTAAAATGATGAGTACATTATCGACAACCAAAGGAAGATGTAATCCCTTCTTATAGTTGCAATAAAGAGCAATAAATTGAGGAAACAAGAGATTAGGTAATAGTAGATTCTGCCTTTATAAAAAGGGTCAAATTTCAATGCCAAATAATTGGTTTCGCGTTGTCTGTATATGCGCAGTACGTTTATTACGGAATGATTTTTGATAATTTAAACGTTTTAGTGCTGTAAATATAACGAAATCTTGAAATTTTTAGAATATGCGAACTAATTCAAAGTTAAAGACTTTTAACGATTTTTTTTATTCAAATTTTTTGTGTTGGTAGATATGAGACCTATAGGGTACATCGGGTTCAAAAGTTATACGAAAATGGTAAATACAAAAGTTGTAAAGATTCTTAGGATGCAAAATTTATAATTATTTTGAAGTATACAGGGGGACTCAAAAAAGGGCGACGCATAAAACATCCATTTTTTAAACACCTATTTTGAAATTTAGTTTTAAATTTGTTTTGAAGTTCTTCAACTTTTTTTTATTATTAATAATAACTACCTATACCTAGTAGCTTTTTCCAATATTCCAAATTTTCTAAAAAAATACTAGTTTGCACACTGGCAAAAAAATTAGGATAGCGCCAGTATTTTTGAAGCTAAATCACTCATATTAGATATTAGCGTTATGTGAAAATGACGTGGAAGATACATGCAACGGACTTTGATTTAGATGCGACGAATATATTTGGCTCATTTTAAATTGAAAAATCTTGATTTCCTAAATGGCACACCATATATATTATTATTATTTTTTCTGAAAGATCTTACAAAAATCTACAACTTTTATTAAGTGTATAAAGTTATTTATTCCACTACAAAACAGCATTTTTGAAAAACTTCCGGGCGAAACTCGAAAGGTCGTTTTTAATTATAATGGATAATGCCAGATATCATTCTACACTTGGTGAAAGTGTACCAAATGCATCGACAAGAGAACAAAAAATTATAAAGTGATCAAACATGTGACTTGTTAAAAATTGTCAAAAATTACAAAACAAACTTGCCGTATGCTACGGACGAAATAATTGCTGTAATGGGGCATCAAGATGGCTTCCTTATCATTGTATATTAAATGGCAGTGTAGTAAGTGCAGTAGAATTTGTTGTTCAGAGTTAACAAAGAAAATTGGATCAGTTGTATAACACATAGAGAAAATAGAATAAAAGAATACTGAAAAAAAGGGAATGCATTTGATATAACGGTGCCACCACTTTTTATTAATGTAGACGAAGGATCATTTTCTGGTAGCAACAGTCTCAATTTTGCTTCTGATGAAGGTGTTTCATCTTAAATACAAACTAAATATGGTATGTTTTGGTATTCTGTGTTTAGTTTATTTAATAAATCATCATATTTTTTTCATGTTGATTCATCCACCCTGATTTATTATTACATATTACTAGTTAAATTTTTCCCAAGTGATCGTTGGTGACGGCTGTCTTGCATTGATCAGATAGACATTTAGGGTTGTACAATATCTGTTGAAGTATAAGTGGAAGCAAGATGCACAATCTGTTTTATTCTGTCTGTTATTTTATTGCCGACTATGCCATCACAAATCGTACCGGCTACATATATAAAAAGCTTTCAGTGGCAGAAATCGATGGATATATTTAATCCTGCAAATGTCACAGAAAATAAAAATATGTTAGAGATGGTAAGACTTAGGTATAGGTGTTACATACAAAAATATGTCCACAAAGTTCGTAGGAATTCAAAAATTGAATGTTATTACTTGCCCCTGTATATATAGCAATCTAAAAATATAAGTGAGTCCAATCAACATTTCTCTTTACGTCTTTTTATATAGTTTGCTACAGTATTAATTAGTAATATGTATCATTATGTATTTTTTAGAATTAAAAAGAGTAAATTATCATAATCGTTAATAACTAATTAAATAGAATTCAAATTCAATAATTCGTCGATTGAAGAAAAATTGAAGTTTATAAAATGGTTTAAGAAAACAGAATCTAGGAATTTTTGATTTCTACAAAAGGTGAAGTTCAAAATGTTCCAATGTGAATTGTATTTGTAAAATTATTCTAAAGCTTAAAAAAATCTCCTAAAAATATAAAATCGAAGACCGGAAATTTCAGTCTTTCCTTCCTGTCTTCGAGATGCCAACGGTGAGAGTCGAATTTGAAAAGTCGGATATACGAAACAGTTTTTTTCGGTCTTTTATTTTTTTATTTTTTATGCTTTGTTATATCTGACTGTGGTAAAGACTTTTGTATCTTTTATTCGGTAATTTAAAGACAATCAAATACTTTCTTACCTATATGTTTTCTTCCTGCAAAAATTTTTCTTGCAAGAATCATTCAAATAGTCCTTTAGTTTGTTTTTCTTATCTCTGAAGAATTTTATCGGCCTTTGGCTAATTAACCGCATCGCCATTAAACAATTGACAGACGCATCGCAATCAAACAGCAACTTTTGAAAGCCACATTCTACACCGTGGAACGATTTATTCGCCATCTTTTCGCAATGTGTGCTGCAAAAAACTACCACGGCACATCCCGGACAAGCGATCGGCTGATCGACTGAAGTTAAACAATACTGACAATTGCTTAAAGTGTGTTCGCCATCCACCACCGAACATGAAGGATTTTCTTCCACGATGATGGCACCTGCAGGAATATCTTCCGTCGCCCTGGCGTACCGCCCTTGCACATTGTCTTGTTCTATAACTAGTTTAGAAGTAGCTGCAATATATTCCTGACCACCGATGAATTTATCATCGTTCAATATTGGGACTACATCTTTCTTGAGGTTGTGATGTTCGGGTTTACTTTTACTTTGAGTCACTTTCAAGCGTTCTATTTCGTGTTTTTTTCTTTCGATATTTTTTTCGTCGAGCCCGCTCTTGTCTAGACATTTCAACGCTTCGTTGTATGCTTCACAAGCTAGGTTTTTATTCAGTAACTCGTCGTAGCACTTGCCTTTTCTAAGCCAGATTTTGTACTTCAAGTTTACGGGGTAATCTCCGATTTCCATGAGGTAATCGATGTCGTTAAAAACACGTTTGTATTCGTGTAACTCGAAGAGTGCCGCGCTCCTATTGGATATTAGAACAGTCAGCATTTCCCGTTCCTTAACTAAAAATACGCACGTAAACTATGCATGGAAATAAAAACCCCCCGTTTGAACTTTGATTGAAAATAATACCTTATTATACCAACATACCAAGTTTTAAGAGGTGAAAGTATGAAGCGACCAAAAATATAGTGCATTCATTGCTTTGACGTTTTAAGTATTTTAAAGTTTATTCTGCATTAAGTATGTCTTGCCTGAGATGTATCGTAACGAATATTTGTTTTTATTTGAAACATAAATGGACAGTTTTAAATTTGATTAAGATGCTGCGGGGTATTTTCGTTCGCTTTTATTTTAACATCAGGTGATATGTATCCTTCTTAAGAGTTTAATCTAAATTGCAATATGTTCGTATATATTGACTGTGATCCTCTTGCGAGGCTGTTTTCACTGGATAGTTCAAAGTGTAAGGGTGAGTACCTTTACTCTAATTATCTTGCAGGTAACTTTGAAAATAATCATTTTTGTCTTGTTTGTCGATTAACAACATTCTTCTTCTTGTATTTTTGTGTCTTCTACATAGTTCTTCGATTTGTAAACAACAACAGTCCTTTTTAAGACTATAAATTATATTCGCGGTAGAAAAAGGTACGTCATAAGAATACAGATAAGTATTTATTAGAATCTTACAATAAAACATTTTTTTAAAACACTTTAAAATGTGGAGAGCGTGCTATGAAGCAGATATTCCCCTGTTAGAAAAAGACATGGAAAACAACGCAGTGTTTGAAGACCAAGGTAGTCGAATCTAATGACAATTTAGAAGACGAACTACCTCAGCGAATAAAAAAACGAATCGATTTGTCTTCCGATGCTAAACAAATTGTTTTGAATGTTTGCAATTTTATAAGAAATTCAGAAGGGGAAGTAGGAGCAGCAAGAAAACGACGAACGAAAATGGATTTTTAGTTCTAAACAATTAATAAACGCCAAGTGCTAATGGATTCTCAAAGAATTTAAATTTAAATGCCATTGAAAAATTTCGAGAGCAAAATAGGCCGATAGTGTATTTCGACGAAACACACTCACAAAAATGGTTATGTGGAAGATGCCTTATTTTTGTCTGCCAAAAACGTCAAATTCAAGATTCAAGTGTGGATTACTGGTTTGAAAATAAACTATTGCCAAAACTATCGCCAAATACTGTTATTATGTTGGATAATGCCTCGTATCATTCTGCCCAAATTAGAAGAATTCCAAATACTTCTTCAAATAAAGAAGAAATTAAAGAATTTCTGTACGAAAATGTCATTGTATATTTAACCCGATTAATATGATTTGGTATGAGTTGAACGCGCATATAAGAAGAAATAACACTGCACTAAAATTTAGTGATAGTACCACAAACGTACTTGGGCAAGAGGTAGCTAGAATATCAGCACAAATCTAGTCTAACTGTGAAAAACGAGTAATAAAAGAAGAAAATATTTATCGAGAATGGTCAGTGGCGGAGTTGATCATTGAACTAGGTGACGACATTAGTGATAGTGACGATTTTTTTATAGTTTATTATTATTATATTTATTATTTTGTACATTAATAATGATACTATGTAGAAATGTAATTAAATAAAACGTTGTAAATTGTTACTTTGTACTAATTTTTTTTATGTACATGTTTCAAGAATTTCTCGGTGAAAAAGTTTGAAAACATACTTATATCCCGCTTGTTAGTGTATGTAGGTAGATAAATTCCTAAGATGGTCCTGGAATGGTTAAGGGTAAGGGTCTGCTCGGCAGGGTGTTCTATAAGGGGCTGTGGTTTTGGAGTAATAAAGAGTAGGGAAAGTTAATCGCGGAGTCGGTTGTAAAAGCACTATATTTCTGGTCTAAGTATATTTGTGTATGTTAAATTTAAAAGCGAATTACTTGACTTTTCTTTTCGATAATTGACTAGCGAGTCCCAATTAATTATTATTTAATAATTGCTATTAATTTATTCAGTTTCAAAACACTTTGTATAATGATGTGTAAATTTATTTTCGAAAGGTCGTTCATAATACAATAATGCAAATAGTATATTTTAACAAACTAAGTTTGATAAACGCATTTGATTTGGCATGAGCGGAGAGTAACGGAGCGAGTGTCTAATAAAGGAACGATAGAAGAAGTTTATTATTTATGAAAGTTTCTGGTTCGCATAAAAACATTAGATATTAGGGCACTCGTTTGAGTCAAATATAGTTACGGTGTACTTGAATTGTTTTTGTTAGTTTTTTCTCCATTTTCCCACAAATGAATACAACTTTCTTATTTTGTAAAAAAAAATGAAAATGAAATTTATCGCAAAAATTCAAAAAGTTGTTCTATTGTGTTCTTTTACTAATTTTATGAAATCAGAAACGGGCTTAAGTAGTATAATAAGTAAGTGTGAAGATATTGCAGAGATCCTTCAAAAATAATTTATCTATTCATCGAATCTTAAAAAGGCAACGCCAATTTAATATAAATTAAATCAAAGTCGAAATCCAAAACTTTTCCATATTATTAATATTCAAAGAAATATCTTGTATATATTTTGAGATTTATTGATAAAATTGCAGTTATTTTATTCTAACAAAAGAAAAACTAAACAAAACTATAACAAAACGAAATCGAATTATGAAAAAAGATGATGCTTTTAATTGACAATGAAAGCGATATGCATTGACAAATATTATATTGGTTAGTTTTGGTTAGTTTGCGATATGTACGGCAACTCAACCTGTCTTCACTTTCATTTTTCTTAGAGCCTCCATATTGAATTTTAGAGTTTTGGAATGAGCGTAAAATTAAGTTAGGTCTTAATTATTTTATTAGTAAGCCATGATTTATTTAACATTAATATTAAGATTTAAGAATTTTCAATGGAACATATACGTAAAGAATGGCTTCTCAACAAGCCAGATGTCTTGGGCAAATTACCACCTGTGTCTTTTTAAAAAAGAAAAAGTCAGAAAAATCGTTAATTTAATTAAAATTAAAATCTTACAAGTTCCATACAAATTGAAAAAGAAAATCGCTACAGATTTGCAAAATGAAGTTAATTACAACGGAGATAAGAAGCTTCTAAATTGAATAGTGTTGTGACATCCATCCTGTTGAAACCAAGTTCTTTAAACTCTTCTTCGGTTAGAGTGCTTGTCCTTATTTAAAACACCACAATTTGTAAGCCTGTTCTCGTCGAACCACAATACATGATTCATATAAAAAGCAATTTTTTAAATTGTGTTTTTATGAGGTTGCCATCATTCAGAATACATCTCCAAATACCGTGCTCAGGTAATGGCGGCGTTTCTATGTGACTACAAGTACAACGCTAACATATAAAATAGTACTTATTAAAATATAACTTTAACGCTTTGACACTATTAAGACTCGACTTTACGAAGTGAGATAAACTCTTTTGTGCACTTGTGAGACAAAACAATACTTGTGTAAGGAAAGACGATTGACGTATGTCATATACGCTCTCTTAGGCGTCTTAAAAGTGTCTGAAAAATGTCACATTTTGACAGCTGTCAATTTAACCGTTTTGGATTTACAGGGAAAAATATAATCTGCCATTTTAAGTTTTTCGTCGATTTTCCAGAAACCAGCTATAGTAGGAGCGGAGATTTCTGCATAAAGAAGTGAATTTGAGACACGTTGAATAGCTGCTAATACAGAAACATATAAAGCAACTATTTAATTTTCAATCTTCAATAAGTTTGGATGCAGCATTTTTACGGTAGTATTTTCTCAAAATATGTCCAGATCTCAATAAATCTTCAGTGAAAAGGAGTTCAGTTTGAGGATATCTTTGTTTATAAGGATAATGGGGTAGGTATAGGTAGTTTTCTCATTCCCATATGTTTTCTAATGGCTATATCCCAGATAATGACTGAAAAAAACATGATTGGCATATAAAATAAGGAAATTGTATTTCTTTGTGAGCACAGAACTATAGAAAAAAAATCTAAGTATAAAGTGACCAAAAATTGAAAAACCGCTATATCTCGGTCGGCATTGATTTGGTTTTTGTGGTTTTTTCCATTAAATATTTTTCATAAATCGACAAGTCGATTTTGCTCTATCTAGTTAAGAAAAAGGATTTTACAGCCACCCCGTATGGAATATAAATAATTGTACTAACTAAATTAAAGGATTTAAACGAATGTGCCAAAATGCGACGAAAGCCCCAATGAAAGAGACAACTAAAAAAAGACAACATATTTTTTGGTTTTTAAAGAATCTGAATAATCCTCAAAAATGATAAAATTCCAAACGTAATGCGGTAAACAGTAAAGCTTTCAAATTCCAAACATGTAGAGACACTCATTAGTTTACGCGGTCGTGTCGTATTAGTTTGGACAATACGTTTAAAAGACGCTTGAGAATAAATTCACATTTTGTGCTCCGAACGACATGCCCTTTGAAAGTCGATGCGATAGGGACGTTTAGGAATCAAAAGGATTTTTATTGGGACTTTATCCTCATGAGAATGGGAAACGATATTGTTTGATGATTTTTTTCTTCTTTTTTGTTTGGTTTACGAACATTTTATTGACTTTTTTACAGTATATGTGTACAGCTATACTGACAAAAAAATTATGCAAGGGGACTAACGACAGATAGGAAAAAATCAGACGAGAGCAATTTCGGCACATGGCTGTTTTTTTTTGTGCTGGAATTATTGCTACGACAAATAAAAATATTTCATTTGCTTTGATTTGATTTCTGTATGCCTTCACTGTGCAACAAGAATTTAATGTTTATGCAACTAGAATATTATTAGATTGGTATGTATGTCATCTTAAACTGCAGTTGAATATGGTTGCACATTGTAATTACTAATTTATTCTTGTGAAAATGTAATTTTAGAACCACACGAGTAATTAGCATGGCGTATATCTAGCTATAAGTAATACTAATACAAAATAGAAAACACACATCGGCAAATTCTGCGAAAACAACTGACTTTATTGCTTATATCTGATATCTGAATATTATATTATATTGCCAAATCGATTGCATTTTAGTATTAAGAAGCTAAAATAGAGTCAGAAGTTCCATTTTCTATATATATATATATATATATATATATATATATATATATATATATATATATATATATATATATATATATATATATATATATATATATATATATATATATATATATATATATATATATATATATATATATTTATTTAAATAAACGTAATACAAAAGGCTTTAATAACGAAAATTATACATACATACTTTTCTTTGCATATTATATAATATGTCGTAGGTTATGATCCCAATATTCAAAAATACAATTTTCGTCCTAGTTTTTCAGAACCAATGCGATGGGAATCAAACAAATAATAATAATAACATACTTTTCTTTATTATAACAGTTAAATTTTATAAAACTATGAAGTAACATATAAAAATTTCATAATGAAAAAAGTTTTATTCTTTTCAGCAATAATTGCTATTGTAGTACTTTGAATTATATATTATTGCATCATTTTTACAACTACACTTTTTTGAGAAACAGATGCAACTTTTAAAACCTTGTCCACTAGTAAGGTACTGCATTTCTATCATTTCTCTTACCGAATGTTAAAAAAGAGGCTTGAGTTCACGTTTCTGTTATTGTTGTTGACCATTTTTATACAGGGTGTCTAAAACTAGACCACAAACATTTACATTTTCGAAGTCGCTAAATCGTTTTATTCGACAACGTCATATTCTCTTATTTTTTGAGTCCAGTAGTTGAGAGGTAAAGACTGTATTCTCTATTAAAAAAATGTCAAATCTAAGATGATCGGAGATATGAGGTGAAAGAGATACCATATGGATATTATTTTCTTTACAAAAAATACCTATATGCACCAATTGAAATGTGGCTATTGCAATTATCTGGAACCAATAGAACGGGATCAGAAGTAGTGTATGTTTTGCAAAATAACTCCTAATTGATCCAATCATTCTTAAAACATCTGTAGAAGAGTAAGAGTAATTCTCAGCCGCAATGATAGAAAAAACACCTCTTATAGTCCTCCCTCTTTCAGCGAAGATGGCAGAAACCACTTTTTTGCTCCTCTGGCTCCGTATACCTGGTTTCCTCCATATTAAATATTCTGTTGGCTTCAAATCTAAACTTCTGCATGAGAGTTTGCAGATTACAACAAAGTTAACTAAACTAGTTCCCTTAAGCTGCTTAAGTTTTATCTCAGAAAATCTACTTAAAATTGATTGAATATGATTAAAAATTATGACTTATATTAAATGCTACATATTAAATGCAGGTGTCACACCATACCATAATTTTGAAAGTAGTAAAACCTACTCCTTTAATTCGACTTCTATGGCTTTTGACAATACAGTCTTACATGTTCTAAAACCTTTTTTTCTTAGGGTTTATTCAGATATCTTGAAACATGTTAATGCTTCCCTAATTTTTCGACCATCATTTTTTATTGAATCTAGCGCATTTTGAAGATTTTTGGCTGTTTAAAAAAGGATAATGTCAATAAAATATTTAAAGGCATAGACTGCAGCTCTGGTCAACTTCACTTGACCCTCATCCAAAAATTGAAAGATGTTTCTATATATATATTGTATATATATATATATATATATATATATATATATATATATATATATATATATATATATATATATATATATATAAATATATGTATATATATATATATATATATATATATATATATATATATATATATATATATATATATATATATATATATATATATATATATATATATATATATATATATATATATGTATAAAAATGGTCAACAACAATAACAGAAACGTGAACTCAAGCCTCTTTTTTAACATTCGGTAAGAGAAATGATAGAAATGCAGTACCTTACTAGTGGACAAGGTTTTAAAAGTTGCATCTGTTCCTCAAAAAAGTGTAGTTGTAAAAATGATGCAATAATATATAATTCAAAGTACTACAATAGCAATTATTGCTGAAAAGAATAAAACTTTTTTCATTATGAAATTTTTATATGTTACTTCATAGTTTTATAAAATTTAACTGTTATAATAAAGAAAAGTATGTTATTATTATTATTTGTTTGATTCCCATCGCATTGGTTCTGAAAAACTAGGACGAAAATTGTATTTATGAATATTGGGATCATAACCTACGACATATTATATAATATGCAAAGAAAAGTATGTATGTATAATTTTCGTTATTAAAGCCTTTTGTATTACGTTTATTTAAATAAATATTTTTTTACTGCAACAATATTTTTCATTTATTTGAACGTATACATTGTAGTCAGTTCACATATACCTAACGTTTTGCGAAATGTACACATTTTACGGTAAAGGTGTACATTTCCCAAGAACGTACATTTATGGTAACATTTTTGAAATTTTGAAAAAAAGTCGATTCCCTTTTACATCAGCTAAATTACAAACGAAAAATCACTAAAAATAGTAATGTCCCACTTATTTGAAATGGATTCTTTGTGACTTTAATGTTTTGAATAAACTTGCCATTTCTTGTCGTTGCCGCTTTGTTTCGCATTTGTTTATACTATAGAATTATAGTTATTATAAGATATATGGCACAACGTACTACTGACCTTCAACTATTTCTTCGGTATTAAATATCACGAACATATTAATTACACTAATTTTTATTTTTTTCGTAAAATTTGGAGACGCTGTATTGAGTTACGAAACGTATTTAGTTCATACTACATAGAGCTCTTTGTTTCAAATCAAATCGGGTGGGATGGGAAAATGAAAACACTAAAAATTAAAATTACCTGTTCCTTGAGGACACTTTATAATTCCTTCGTCGTACAATTTCAACGCGTTACGATAATCCCTCCTAGCGAAAAGTTTGTTACCCTCATTTTTCATATTTTCCGCTACTTTGATATCTTTATCGCTTGCTTCCGGTATTATTATAGAAATCTTCTTCGCCGTGTCGTACATGAGCTTTATTCTTGATACGTCATCTTTCGTCCCTTTAAAAGCATCGATACATTCGTCCGATAACTTTCCAATTGCATTTTCACAATACTTTTGAAATAATATTATATTGTTCTTGCTCATTTTATCGTACTAGTTGAGACAACTTAATTACAACGTAACCGTACATCGTCTGCGGGAGTAGTCAAATGGTGTTTAAATCTATTAATAGCAAAACCGAGAATATATTTATTGGTTGGTATTTCTGTCTTGAATTCGGTTTGATTGTTGTGGAAAAAATGGCTATTTTTGAAATTTATAGTTGTTTTGTTGTTTAATTAAAATATGTTAATAAAATTCGCAGAGAAAATAGTTTTTTGAAACCGTCAAAGAGAGCACCCAAAATTTACTTTAGATGTATTTTTTAAATGCACTGTCATAAATTAACTTTTTACTATTGTGATCTGTATTTATTATTCTACTTGTTTTTATACAGTGTGTCCCACTTAAGAACTGTCTACCCCCGTAGAACCTTTGTGTATGGTTTGATTTTGATCTTTTTTTTTTGTTGGATAGGTTTCTGAAAAATGCACTAAAACCTTGTTTAACTTATTGCTTCAACTTAAAGTCATGGCCAACTGAGACTATTTAACAAAAGAGAGCAGTAAGTAGTTTTTAAATTTAAATTTAAATAAATTTAAATTTAAAAGTCGAATATTCGCTAATAATAATAACATACTTTTCTTTATTATAACAGTTAAATTTTATAAAACTATAAAGTAACATAAAAATTTCATAATGAAAAAGTTTTTAATGTTGAAAAAAATAAATATTGTAAACCTTATAAATAACGATTATTTATATCTTACAAATTTTAATTATGCAAATTTCAAAAATTATGATAAAAAACTTTTTAATGGACATTTGTTTTTTAGTATTATCTTAAAACAACAGCATTAATAAATCTTAAATCTATAGCCCTTCTCGATATTTGACATCAAAAATTAGTCCCAGTTAGCCATGACTTCAAGTTGATGTAATAAAAAACGTAAGGTTTTAGTGCGTTTTTGAAAGACAACAAAAAAAAAAATCAAAATCAAACCGAAATCAAAGATTTTTTAACGATGTAAAGCCAGAATTATTATTAAAATGGGTATAGTTGGGTTCTAAGTACTCCTGAATAAGAATTCGTTGCCATTTTTTTTAATCCCTAACAGTACTTCTCTCTTGTCCTTCCTTTGTTAAATAATATCAGTTGGCCGTGGCACTTCGCTCAGTCAACGCATTCGTGTTGTTTTGCCAAAACTAATGTTCGTAGAAAAAATACAGTACACGTTGATAAACTTCTTCATTTGCTTTTTAGACGAGACCAAGCATATACTATAGATATCACAGATGGGATGGGTGTAGTAATGGAGCAATAAATGCCCCTTCCCACGAGACCATGTGTATTGAAATTCGGGAATTATATACAAATTAAGATTTCCTAAAAATTAAAATTAAACACTCGCGTTTTGGAGGCCTTAACCCACCTACTATTGAGACATAAAGGTATATACGTAGAAAAACTTTCTTTAATAAATTCGCAGGGTCGGGTATTCTGGGTTATTATTAGTGCGATATATCGCGGAACACACGCACACTATAAGCATTTCGAAAAGCCAGACAAGTAAACGATTTATTCGTTTCGGGGGGCTTAAAACTTTTGCGTTCGTGACTTTGTCTCTAATGAAGACTTTACCAGAACTTCGTTATGTGGATATTGTTGTTAGGAGTTAAATTTGAAACACAAACATCAGGCACGATAAGTGGTGTTTGGATGCTAAATAGTGGTTAATCCACAAGCAATTTATTTCCGTAATGGTTTTTGCACCAAAAGAAAGTGAGACGCGAAAATGACACCAAACATTTAATTTCATTTTATTTCTCTCCACTGCGTAATCCAACCTCAAAGTTTTGTAAATTATTTTAAGAAGATTCGTATTGCACAATATCACGATGACGAAAATAAGGTAACTTATTAGATTTTTCAACACAAAAACGAGAATTTTCGGTAATGCTAATGCAATTTGTGACCCTAATGTATACCAAATAAATAAATAGCTAAATGCGCTAAGATTCTATTTTAAAAATTCTTAACGTCAATGTTTCGTGGTTTGATATTTTATGTAGACGCTATTCATTTGTTGCCGATTTGTGTTTACTTTATACTAAACTTATTAAGTAAACAGTTTTCCAAAACACATTAGGCTGTTTCAATCTCTTTTAAAAATTAGATCAAACTTCTAAAATCATTTTCTATTAAATTTCAGAAAAAATCAGTTCTTGTTTTTTCATTTCTTATTTTTTCTAAATAAAAACACATAAGTACACTGTATATCTGCTGAAATTTTTAATGACTGTTTTGCTACTAGTTCTCGCCATCTATGCTTTCAGTGTTGATTTGGCTTCACTGTCATTCAAATATCGGTCAAATAATCAGAATTTCTGAACCTTTGTTCAAATTTGTAATTATGTCTTTATTTTTAATAAATAAAGATAATTACACCATATTGTCCCAGAAAACATTTAATTTTTAATTAAAGTTAATACAAATTTTAGCGACCATGCACAAAAACTTTATAATTATAGAAATCTACTGAAGTTTACAAAGAGAATTTATAATTTACAAAAAATAAATTAAATTTAATAATGCGTAGTGTCAAGAAAACAACAAGGCAACAAGAGAACTAATCCTTTTAAAATATCCCAAATGTGCTCTACTGAATTTAGGTGTGGACTGCGTGGTGCCCACTCCAAGATCACAATGTTGATTTGATTTAAGTAATCCAGAGCAGTTTTTGGAATGTGTTTGTGTTTCCTATAAATGCTGCAAATGATATTACCTGATCTTGAATAATGTTTTTGAGATAGAATTCTGCATTCATATAAATCGGACGAATAGGAATCAGCTCTGATCGTGCCTCAAAACATATTCCTGCTTACAACATGCTTGAATCACCACCAAATGGCTTCTTTGGAGAGATAGTACAATAATAAAGTCCTTCCCCAGGTCTGCGTCATACTCTACCACGACCATCTTGTGTTTCATCTATGAACAAAACTCTTCTCTCTATTTTCGGTCTATTTTGTTAAGGCCTTTAGAATCGGTTTTGTAATTATTTTTTTTTATTTCTACATTTCCATAAAGTTCCATTTTTTTGGGTGTTTGGTTCTGTCAGTAGGATTTTAAGTTTTTGAAAATTAAATGTGTGTTTGGTGTTGTCACAATGGGTATGAAGAGCTGTTTTATTTCTTTTTGTCATGCTTGTGTCCGTTGATTGTATTTTTTAAATACTGGCTTGTTTGTTGTTGTATGAAGAGCTGTTTATTTTTTTTTGTCATACTTGTGTCCGTTGATTCTATTTTTTAAATACTGGCTTGTTCGTCCGATATACACAATGTCGCATTTAGAGCAGGGAATTTCATGTACTATATTACTTTTTTTTTCAACCGGAATTTTTGCTTTGAGTTTAGTGAAGAGATATTTTAATTTTGTGTTACTTGAAAATTGATTGGAGTTTTTCTGACAACCCAGGTACATATGGTATTGGTATTGGTATTGGTATTAAAGGGGGGCGCCCTCGCGGGCGTCCAAGCACTTAGGCCACCAGATGGGCCCGTTGTGCCCCCAGGCCGCTCTAGAGGGCGTCCAGAATGCCGCCCTTCCTATAGAAAGTCAGCAACTGCTTTAGCCCAATACCGTGCACTGAGTCCGGATCGATCAGGGCCGTTCCGAAGACTCCCAATCTTGCCCATGTCAAGGCAGGGCACTCGGTGAGCAGATGATACGGGGTCTCCTCCCCTTCCATGCACCACCTACACTCCGGGTCGTCTCCAATGCCTAGCAAGCAAAGATGCCTCCTAAGCCTGCAATGTCCTGTGTAGGCCCCTGTTAGTGCTCTACACTCCCTTCTGGTCAGTCTAAGCAGCTCCCTGGTCCGAGGAAGGGTACATATGGTAGTGATATATATTTGTTTGGAGGATTTCGATGTTTGTGGTTTTTGTTTACGTTATTATAAAATTTTTTGCTCCATTTACTAAAGATATTATCAAGTTTTTGGGATAATTATTTTCTAGAAATGCATGTTTTGCTTTTTCAATTGCCTCTAGTCTATTCTGGATCGGATAACATTATTGATCTGTTAGCCAGACCTAATATGAAGAATTTTGTTTGGGCTGGGGGATGATTACATTTAAAATTTAGATAAAGTCATGGTTTCGTCTGAGTATACCAACTTGTTCTTATTTTATTCTGTATGTGATGTAGGGATAAGTCCCAAAAAAATTAATAGTATTTTGGTTTTCAATAAATGTGGAAAACTTGTCGAAAAGTGCTCTTGCCTTCTTAAGGTTGACGCTGCCTGCAAAATGTGTTGCGTAGGGATCTCCTTATGCACCGTTAACTCTATAATGGTTTATTAATTAACCACCGGTATACCCGAACATTTTGAACGATACGTAACAGAGCTTCGGCTTAACCCTGTCTTTAGAGTTCGCTGCACATTGTCGAAAGAGCATTCCAACCATTTCTGGTTGACTGAACCAACGATGGAGGGCTACATTAAAACCAAAATGATTTCATTCGATGAAATATTCAAATTGGTACTCCGAGAAAAATGAAGCGTTTCGCGAAAAATCGCCGTTTAATGCAAACTAGAAGACGACGAAGCACTGGCGATCTGGAGTTTAATGTCATCGTAATACGTCATGCCAAAGGAGAAAGAAATATATCCCGAGACGCCGTTAATCTGTTGTCTAAAACTCGTTAATCTTTCAAGATAAGAAACAAAGTCATTAAATTCTCTGTCGTGATTCAGCGGCTACAGTCCAGAATGGGCCAACTTTTAACCAGAAAACTTCCCGGAAATTTTTGTTTTTCTTTTGGCTATTTACACACATGAAAATGAAATCGCGTAAGGAAACGCTATTACTGTACGTTTTATGTCTGGAATGGTTCGAGTTTAATATATTTATGAAGACCTTTTCTTGGGGCCTTGAAAGGTTCCCGTGCCTGAATAAAAGTTTGGCAATAGCTCGCGGTTTAATTTTTAAAAGCAAACCGCGGTTTACTAACCTACTTATTCTAAGTTTGATAATAGGGAGATGCAATATTTAAAAGTTTTGAAGGTTTTGTATATATTTTTGC